CATTGCTTATCGAACTGATTCTGGTGGCAAAAATGCCTGCTACAAAAAAAGCAAGTTCTATCGTAAATCTTGAATTTTGTTCACGAACCGCAAACCGACATTTAGAAGATGTTCACAAAGTTTGGCTTAAAAAAGTAAAATCTATATACAATTCTAATTTTAATTAATTTCTAATAGCTGTATGTTAGATGATTAGTTTGGGTATGGGGCCCATCATTTTTAGACTGTGGATGAAATCGGAAAAGGTTCAACATACTTTAAATGTCATTTGCTAGTTCTGGTCAGAACATCTGTTGACTTAACAGAATCAAGCAAAGTGCGCATGTGCATGCACCATCGTATGGCAAGGGACAATTGGATTTCAATATTGCCGTGAGTGGCTGTCTAATGGGCTATAATCACCGGAATGAAGGCACGAAGAGGCATTGATGGCGCTGTACAGCGAAAAGGTAGCACGTGTTAATGGAGAATACAAGATATAGGTGTCATCATATTTTAAGAGAAGACTAGCTTCATGTAGGATACAGAATATATGAGATCCTATTTGGTAAGTGTGTTGTCTTTTGTCTATCATACTTGTGGTCTAATAGATTGTGATGATAGTGGAAAATACAATTTTTTCAAAACATTTCAGGATACATGATTTTATTTATTTATTTATTGTTATAGAAAATGAGATAATAAAAAATCAATCAGTCGTGCATCTTTTGAAACATGAAATGGATGAGGTGTCTTATTGGATCATTTGTACGATGGCTTCAAGCGTCATATGTAATTTTGATAAATTTTGCGATTAGATTCATGAAGTGAAGGACAATTATTAACACGCGTGCAATTCCAAGAAACTGCAACAAAGAAAGGACTAAAAAGGAAAAGTTTATTTAAACATGTTCTGCAAAGTACTAACTATATTGGGGCACTATGCATACAATCTGATATCTATATTGTTGATTACAGTGTCTAGAATATACGCCACGTGGTCAAAGCAAAGGTTGTCTTTGCAATAAAAAACTAAGATCAAAGGACAGATATGTGTGGGCCGCCGCAGAGACGTCTTGGCGCTTTCATCTTTATAGTATTGCTGACGGCCAAAGGTATAAAGATATTGCCTCATATTTATTTCCAAGTATCTTTAAGTCGCAAAAGGGAACTTGAGTAAATGTAAATCTTTTATATCTTTTGGTATGAGAAATCAATACTACTTTTTGCCCGCATACCTTGTTCAATGTATTACACAATGAATCTCAATCATAAAGTTTGCGAACAGAGAAACTCATTAACCAGATATTTTAATGGGATAGATAAAAGGCATGAAGCTAACTAAATGGATACTTACCTTTGTTACGGGGCTTCTTATATATATATCCTCAAAATGCTGCTTTCGAAGTGATCGCACAAATGTTTAATTACGAAACACATTTGTATCTTTCTTTTAGGATGTTGTTCTTTATACTTCACACAAGATAATTACCAAGAGGAAATATCAACAGATTTTGAAGCAGGAAGAAACATTATCAAAGTATATGCATTACTTGAAAATGAGAAATATCGCAAAAGCAATGGCACAATATACCAAATCCAATCCACTTTGAAATGTGGACAAAGAATCGAAGAAGGAAGTGTGTTTCATATTAACAGAAGCACTGGTTGGATTTCTCTTACAAAGTCTTTGGAACCAGTTTCGGCCATTGGTAAGCAAATGATTTTTGTATTAGAGCAAAAAGTAGATTTGTTTTCGTTTCTCCGTTTTTCTTTTCCAGCACTCGTTCTAGCTCCAGAAAATACACCGGTGTCGAGAACGGTTTGAATGGCCACTCATTGGTCCCAATGTTGGATCTTATGTATTCGTCGTGATGCCCATAGCTTTTACTTTCATCTTGTAAAACTGTTTCCCGAGTATTAAAATAGCCTTTTTGATAGCTACATATATAACAAATGCGAGTTTTATATAACGTATCTCTATAATTAATATGAGATGAGGAAATACGCGATAATATCTCATGATCATTTAATGCTAATTTATAACATTATTTAATTTCATTTAGATTTCATATTTTATGACGTATCATTGGTGACATTAGGCTGTGCCTTGTGCGTTGTTTGATTCAAGCAAATTTTAATTTATAGCTAGCAAAGGCAGGAAAGATAACATGTTAGCGTTGGCAATTATTAGGGAAATCAAAGTTTAACTTTCAGCTTCACGTGGGTAGTGAACATGACCACTAGGCAGATTCATTTTATCAATCGAGTTTGTTTAAAACGTAGCGTGAAGTCCTCGTGGGGTGTGGAGAAGCAACTCACCACATCATTTGATACTGAACATTGACGTACTCGCCCACGTTTTAATTCTGTAACACAGGTTAATGTGATTAGATGCAAAATATATCATGGTGCAAAGCTTTTTTTTCTTTAAAGCGCTCAGTTTGGTTAGTCTTCACTTTGGAATCAAGTCTTAGGAGGTCAAACATTGTCCATGTATGTCTTCATTTTCGTCGACGAAACTTAAAAAAGAAGACACGAAAGGACTGTTTAATATAAAAATTCATGTTTTTTTGGCGTTTTTCTAGCGTATTCGATTGGTATGAAGGAAATGTTTGAATTCAGCACTTGAAAGCAGAAGGACTCAGATCTTTAGAGATACATTGACACTCCCAACCCCTGCACACACCTCAACACAAACACACACACACATCAACACACACACACACACACATCAACACACACACACGCGCGCGCGCCTAAGTCAAAACCCTGCTCTTGATCTTGTCTCTTGGCACTGGACCAATATCGTGTACCATGAGAACAAAGAGTAATATCATTGTTCAAAATGTCGTAAATATTTGTTTACGAGCAATTCGTCTCGGTAACTGTATATATATTGTAACCAGTGAAACAATTGAAGGTTTCCTTTAACCCATTTTGCCCGGCTTATTAAATGCATGCAATCAATGCCACCTCTGAGTCGATTTAGATTACCGCTGAGACAAACCATTTAATGTTCTATGATCAATGATTCACTGAATTCTTTCTCGCCTTGACACCACTCTAACCATTGGCTTACCAATCTTTTTGTCAACATTGTTCCTCCATCCTTCAGATTTGCCACTGAATTTCAGATTATTTGAAAGATGTTAGTGGGGTGAGACATTCACACCTTGGCAATCAATGTTAGTTGCAATGTTTAAACTGCATGGCCATTATCGGAATTAAATGTACCGAGCTCGCTCTTAACCTAAACAAAATATAATTTCCACGCTCAAACACTTGGTAAACAGTTTAACTACTGTGATCTGGGTGAAGTCTTATCAAAGTACAGGCCTTTATCATTAGTTTGACTTTATATTAACAGTAATTAAACGCGTCTTTGTACTATTCAGGTTTATTAATAATGGTAGATTTTATCGTCTATTTCCTTTTGGTAGTTGAAATAATTTATCTATTGATAGCAAATAGAAACCCACAATAGAAACGTTTCTTAATACTTATTATGTATTATTGACGGGATATGTTACAAGTGAAAAGAAAGATTATACATATATGTAGTTATTTTCTTATTTTATAAATTTCTACTGGAATATATATTACACAGATTCGTAATTGCTCACAGATACTTGGAGGTACTGTAACACCTGTTAGATTCAACACCAAATCCGTGCTATCCAAAACGCGTTATGCTTACTTGTACATTACTGGAATCCTATATCTATATTTCGCTGCTATGGTATAGCATGAGAAATATGGAGGTCCATGTACATTTCTGTGAGTTTATCCAAAGACAGTTATTGTATATTCAGCTACACGCAATTTTACAAGAGACTGGTGTGTGTGTGTGTGTGTGTGTTTGTGTGTGTGTGTGTGTTCTAATCTCTGTCAACTTTTATTCAATTTTGCCAGCACTAGCTGTGCTGCATAAACACTGTCAAGCGGAAAAACACTACTCTAAAGCAATATATATATATATATTTTTTTAGAAAAGTCGCCAAAACTTGTTTTCAGGCCAAGTCCTGATGTCTGCAACAGTTATTCAAACGAAGCTATTTATCAGGTGTGTGGGAGAGAACTACACGTAGCACAAATAACTTGGTGACACCTTAATGCAGTATTGATTGAGCGAATATTACTCTGTTGTACCGGTAACGCTGCCGACGAAAGGTAAAATCGGCTGCCTAGCAATGTGGTGGCTGAGATATCCTCGCCTCAGTGGTCTTGATGGGTGCTAGTGCTTACTCTCGCTTTCGTTTCAGCTTGTCACTGCAATCATCTAAATTCTTAGGTATTTTAAGGTCAGTTATTCTTATTTTGCCGACAATAGATGTGGTTCAGCTGAAATTGTTAACCGCATGGTATCTGAAATAAGAGTTCTGCATGCATCAGTTCGTAATTATTTTTAAAGGCAATAAATCAAAGTCTGTAGAAACGTAGCCAAAGTGCATTTTATCTACTGTATAAACAGGTTATTTGATTCTAGAATAAATAAATGAAATGGATGTATGGAAGTGCAGCAGTTTCAATAATTTATCTATCAACGGTTGGTAGAATGCTGTGTGAAACAATGTCTAATGATTAATTTGCAAATCAAGCATGGTTTGCGAGGTATTTGTGTATCGTTTGGTTCTAAAAGCCACTTGGAGAGATGATTAAATCCTATCTTTAACGTCTTGGATCCAAAATTTTAGCTTAGGCGTGAGCAATGCGCGTGATTTGTATAATATCGATCTTTCAGTAATACAGTTAGGTAATGTTTTATAACCAGTATGACTCTTATCTGGGGGAAATACTTAACAAATATCATTACAAAAACTTCATTCCCCGGATGACATAAAGTTTCAGTTTGGTTGTACAATTTGGGAACTTCAATCCAAACATATTGACAAGGTAAAATATAATGTATTAATTCAAGTTCAGTTTTGCCTTAAAAGTTGTCTTGCTTTTATTGGCTGCAATGGGGCAAGGAAACTAAATGCGCTTATCTAATTCACCTTCAGTAATTGTTATACGGCTAAAAGGGTTCTACTGTACGTGTGATGCTCATACTAACCAAAACTCCTTCGCGTGGTACCATTCTGATGACATGTCAAGTTCCCCTCTCTCGCCACATTATGTTAATTATTGAACAAAGCAAAATGAATTGTTTAAGTTTCTCTTTGAATTATGAAATACAGTTGTCAAACCACACTGAAAAACTACATGTACAAGATAAAATAATACTTCGAGTGATCAAAAAAAGCATTGATTCCACATTGGATATAAATCTGACGTTTCAATACACGTGTATATTCAGCTTTTGAATGAGATATTTACAGTGACTATGAAAATTATACATTAAAATACTAAACGGCAAAGAAATATCATCTTCATCTGTTCGAAAAGCATTGTAATTGGTTTAAAATTCCTGATTGACATTATAAAACCATTCATTTCTTCACGTGCCATTCAAAAATGGGTCTACTTATATATCCCTTTTGCAGATTGAAGATTATTTTTTCTTGTCTGAAAATGATAGAAACCCATGTGCATTCACGAGAGATAGGTTAACGCTGCGTGGCAAGCATAAACTAAGTGGTAAATGTTGCTTAAAAATCCCAGGAGTGACGTCAGTATGTGCCACGGAGTGTGAAATAAAGATAAACTGCTGCGGGACCAAGCAATTATCCCACGCACATATACTGAATCAGGACAAATGGCCACACTGGTAGGAGGTGTGTGCATCAATATGTCACGACCGAACCCACTCGTACATACTTATCTGAACAGAACACACGCCAGTGTCCCAATGCCTAATTTTTTTACTACGATTGAATTTAATTAGTTTCGACTAGGTCCTAGTAATGCTATACTTTAATGTCACTACAGTGTTGTATAGGAATCCAAATTTAAATATTCCCCCCTATAAAGACATTGATGTTAGAAAAAAATGCTATGGTGTTAGTAAATTATGGCAAATATGCTGTAAGCCGTTGCAATAAGATACGAAAATGCCACGGTAAAAAAACCTTAATTTGTTGAGCAAATGCCACTGACAGCGTTGACGTCATAACGGAGTCCGGGGAAACGCAGTTCTGTCAGCTTTGCTTTAGAACACTTCGGAAAGAGAACGCCACGTGACTGCACACAGACTTTATTTGACATTCGTTACTTGGTGTTTGATAAGTATAGAAATAGTGGAATTCCAAGGAAGTAAAGAGATGTGGTATTTATCACTTCTTTGTCCAGTGTGTGCTTATTTCTTATGAAAAGGAGAAAAGTGGACGCAGGCAGGTTGTTTACAGTGTTTATTATGAGAAGCTAAATAAGAGATTTTAATCCTTTAGATTCATGTATGTCACCTTCATATGCGCACAGTAGAACAAGAATCACAACTAAACACATTACATACATGTAAATACTGTAGAGAAAGTAAAATATACAGACTTAAAAGAAAATGGATTGTATTGACCAGTTTAAGTGTTACACAACTTTACTTGATGAAAAATTAAGATGGCACAGAAGCCACAAGGGAAACACCCCAATAACAAAAAAAAAAAAAAAAAAAAGGGATTGGGTAAAGTAGCTATAAGGTAAAAAGAAACTTATTAATAAACGGCGAAGGAGGCAAGCCTGAAGATAAGTTGAAGATAAGATGAAGGTCCACGTGAAAGAAACAAAGAAATTTACATAACTGGCATCAGCAGTGCCTCACGAATATTATCAATGATATCTCACGTGCATTTGTCTTGTTTAAAATATGATTAAGTAATTTGTGACACGGAATTCAAATCTTCCATTCTTTCTCTTAAAGTTTGCCTTGTTTTCACTTGCCTTCAAAGATGATATGATATGTTATGTTTACTATCATTACAGATCACGAAAGATGTTTTCTTTTGACTGTTTTGGCCACCAGTGGAAATGAAAGTGATGTCACTACTGTTAGGATAACAGTTATTTCGACCAACAGAAAACCGCCGTGCAACATTGCAAAAACAGAAGATGTGGAACGCATATGCTTCAGAAATGGCGTTTTTAAATGGACTGTAGCAGAAAATAACAGACCTGGTAGTAGTATCGGAACAGTGCAGTCTGTTTTTTATGGACAGTGCCCAGATTTGGTCAAACGCTACGAAGCACTTGGTAATTAAGAAGCATACATGTATAATTTAAAATAGGACTCTATAGTTTTTTCATAGCTGAACCTTGTTTTCATTCGGTCTTGTCAGTGAATAACTGATAGCAAGGGTTTGTAGTACTTTTTCGTAGCTAAACAATGTTTTAAACGATCGTGTGAGTGATAAGTACATTTTAAATTCTACTTATAATAAATATATTTTAAAATCTACTAAAATCATTTTTACAGATGGCAATTCTCATGAGCCACATCAAGATATTGAAATTGGCAAAAAGTCAGCGGAACTTTTCACGAAGGTTTCGCTAGACAGAGAGCGTATGCGAAAACCGGCGCGTATACATTTCTTAGTCAAGTGTCATGTCGTCTCTTTTGGAAGAACAATTAACGTATCCAAAGCAGGGGTGTTAGAAGTCCTGGATGTCAACGACAACGGTCCAGTGATAATGAAATTCCAAGCAAGAAAACGTCAACTGAGGAGAGATGATACCAAAACCGTTTTGGTCAAGGACCCGTCGGATATCAAGGTGAATATGCAATAATTTTCAAGAGCATAAATCAAATGTACTGCACAGCTTGTTAAGTACAGTATATGGTATGTTGATCTACGATTATATAGATATATAGATATAAGAGTGTTGCGTGACATAAACATCCAATCGATGCTTTTATTGAAATAACCAGTTTACTACTGTATATTCATAATTAACCAATTGTCACATTTTTTAGGTTGATGGCAAACTTACAGATATGATTGTTAAGGACGAAGATAGCAACGAGGAAAAGTTCAAAGACTATAAAATATATATCGCAAATGATCCCTTAGGACAATTCAGAATGGGTGCTGGCCAACCAATGTCCTCATTTCTTAAAAGCGGTATGTTGTACGTCTCTGGTGTGAAATAACTTAAAATGTTCATTTATTATCAATTTTCATAAACTTATTCTAACAAAAACGTGAAATAAGATCATATCGTCTCTGCATAGCGTAAAGTAATTAAAGAATAAAATGCATATGGTATTCTTAAATAAATATATTCCAACGCTTTTGACGAAGAACTGATCTTTGAAACGACAACGCCGTGAGAAAATATTTGTCTAAAGTCAGAGAACTCGTCGGACTGCCACCTGGGAAGTTTCTTCATCGACAAATTTAATGTAACACAGATATAATAACTTTTGTTAAGATAAGATATGATTTATTTTAGCTGTAAAATGGAACAGAAGTCTGGTTATAACTGATAGCGAGTACCAATTTGACGTGGTTTTCAACGATACGACTGAAACTTTTGGAAACACCACGGTACGTTCAGAATTTTATCCTTCTGATAATCTGTCCAATTATGATTATTTGCTATTGCAGAAACTAAATGTCTGGGTTTACACTACGTTGCAAATATAAACTTTTTTTCGCTGAGCAGGTCGCGTATCGTGTACGAATGAAGAAAATTATTTTAAAATACGTCTGAATGTGCGCAGCACTTTAGTCGTAGTCAAAATTTACATATGCGATTTAATCTGATAAATCTCTAGTTTGATTTGATAATTGATAATTTGATTATTCATTGAGTACTTGTTATCTTATTTCAGGCAGTTTTTCATATTATAGTGAAGCTTCCATTTCATACCCGGGACTCAAGTATGGACTGGTTTCAAGGCTCTCGTACTTTGTCTGTCAGTAGGAATGCCTCTGCCTACAGTAGGGTGAGTAGTTAATTGTCTACAATGGGATCGTGTTCCTTGATTACACATCAACGTGTAACATGTATTGTACGTATACAATATATAAGTCATGTTGTATTTTGCTCATGTCACTCCGAGTTTCGAATTATGCCTAATAACAGTGACTTGCTAGTATCTGTACTAAGCCTGCGCTCTGTCACAATTTCAGTAACTGAATTATGCAAAGGTATGCAGCCAACAAAAGTTTCCAGCAGACTCGAAAACTGATGGTGATTCATGTGAAATTACGTAGAAAATCCATGTCTGATAAAGTTTCGCTTTTGATGGAAACTTTTGCTGTCAAATATATTCATTTCTGAATCAACGAATGAACAGATATAATAGTTCTTAGCCATTGCAATATTTTTAACTTCAGGTTTTGAATCTATACGAAGGAAGCACACCAGACCCAAACTGGACATTTGGCATTGTTCACACCTCACATAAGCCTCAACCATTTGGCGTGACGTCACCGTCTGGTATTGTGTACGTCATCAATAGAACCCTGTTAGCAAATACGCCGGCTAAGCAATTGAACTTGACCGTAGAGTTGAAAAACAATAACACGGCCACTACAGGTTCCCGAGTCCACCTGATTGTCAATATATATGAAAGCAAGGAGCTCTGCCTTGGCGATGAGGAGTCATGCTCTTTCCAAAAATCTCCTGAAAACTGCACCAACGCCTGTGGCTTTGGATCGCCCACAGGTGACTGTGTCTTTAAACCCGGGGCGGACCTGGGGTTAGTGAGCACAAAGGGGTACGGAACTTGTACCCCTGACGTAAGGACGTGCCCCGATGGAGTATGTGACGAATTGGAAAGACTGCAGCCTCATTTATGTTTACAAGACTGTGTTAGTAAGTGCTAACAAACCTACGTCCAACACATTATCACTTGATAGTCTCTTCATAAGTAAACAATGTATCTTCCAAATGTTATCTGTTTTTTATGGTAAATAATAGTTATACCACTTTGTCTTGTCTAAGTATATAAGGTATGTCTGTTAATCATAGTCATAGTATATCTGTAAATCAACTACTTCGTTCACGATACATTTCAAACGCATAGTTTTGTGGTAATACCTTACAAATGCATTTTTAATGGTCCTTCCTGCACTAAGTAAAAACCTTATAGGCAGGAATTACATGTAGTTTTTTCTTTTGTGCTTACCAGGGTTCAAAGTAATAGGCGGTACCCTAGCACAAGGAGCACAAGGCATACGTGTGTCTGATACCATGGATTGCTTTTGCCGGCCAAACATGCAATGTGAATGTGCAGAATCCTCCTATAACCTCACCCTCGTTACCCTCCGTATGCCAAAGCACGTGAAAGCGGAACCACCGCTGACCCCACCATCTAAGGCTAATGTAAAAGTAAACGAAACGAAACTGGTGGATAAATATAAATATGGTAATGTTTGAGTCGTTTCTTTTCTTTCCAGATCTTTCATGCTGTTATCATTATGATTGGCTTTGAAGTTCTTTTAAGCAAAGGTAGCGTTAGGTGTTAATCTGAACCAAGAAGCGAAATTGCCATTTTAGATTAATATTAAATCAGTTTGGATGCCAGATTTGTATCATACTTGATTAAGAACACATGAAACTCAGTTCCACGTAATCAAAAGTAACACTGCTTTATTTTTAGTAGCGGCGCCCGTCATGTTAAAAAACAGTCAAAATGAATGTGGACAGTTATGTAAAGTCGGCATCACTATAGGCGTTGGAGGAACATTTCTAATGGTTCTGCTCGCTGGCATACTGAAACACTTCATCGCAAAACGGCCCCAGAGAAAACGCAAACTTAAGCATGCTAATAGCATGATTTCCGTGTCTGCTGTACCGTCTGATTACGTGAGCGATAGTGAGAGAAGACCCTCCAACAATACCATATTAGACGGGGGACATCCGCAAGAACTGCAGTGGCTTGGGCCTCAGATCCCCAAAGGAGTGGTGAGTTGAGTGATATTCCAATAGGTGAAGTAGAATTTACGCATGAACGTGATGATATGATAAATATCGAGTGGTTTTTCAATAGATAAAAAGAGACACTGACGCATCAACATGGTTTTGGAGTGTCGCGATTACATCGTTCTGCTGTTTTAATGACTTGGCATGAAGTGCAAAGCTAAGCAAGTTATAACAGTACGCATTTAATGAACACAATGACAAAAACAACTTATTATTTTAGTTAAAGTGTCCATCCTGTCTTTTTCTACAGATCGATTCTAAGTGGGAATTCTCTAGAGACGACCTTATTCTTGAAAAGACTCTAGGGGAAGGAGAATTTGGGAGAGTGTTAAAAGCCCAAGCGTTTTCATTGGATGGCAAAAGAGGTTCCGTCACTGTTGCAGTCAAAATGTTGAAAAGTAAGGCGTTTCCCATGTAACTAACATGTACTCCATTTATCTCAATATAGTTATTCCACAACCGAAACCTCATTTTGAATTAAACATAAATGGATAAATCAATGTGAATAGACCACGGCATGATTTAATCATTCTTCCCAAGAGATATGTATGTTGAACTCTCATTTACAGCTCTTCAAAATTCCATTATCATATTCATTTTTTTGTTACTTGGTCCTCTTTCCATTTTTAAATAGATGGTTTGCGTTTTTTCCATTTCCCATTTTGAATTACTGTAGACATATAGTACTCCGTTTCCAGACTGTGCCACAAATAGTGAACTCAGAGATTTACTGTCAGAATACCAGCTACTGAAAGAAGTTTCGCATCCTAATGTTATAAAATTGCTTGGAGCGTGCACAGACCTTGGTATGTATCAGCCAATAAAAAAATCTAAATCCACGGTCTATCAACAGTATTAAGGGACGCTAATAAATCAACATGTTTAAATATTCGGTGGAGAAGGGAGGGTGGGAGGTGTCACATAAAACAAATAGTAATGGTACATGCATGTTGTTTATGCTCCAGTTGAATCCAATATCATTGCTTGGGCGGTGATCCAAACGCATTTGACGTTATGTACTTATTGAATTTTTTAATAATTCAGGTCCATTTTATATGATTGTTGAGTTCTGTGAACATGGTTCTCTGCGTAATTACCTAAGAGAAAGCCGGGAGAAGGATTCACTTTACCTGCAAGATAAGAGAAGCGTCACATCAGAGAGTATACTTCAAACAGAAATACAAATTGGCCAAGACACCGGCGATGACGTAGTCACAGCACGTGATCTCATCTCATTTGCATGGCAGATTGCTAAAGGAATGCAATACCTATCGGAAATGAAGGCAAAGCCCCCATCTTTCACTTTACTCCTTTTCTCATTTCTATAAAAGTTATATACATTTTTTTTCTATTTAACAGAGTTTGCATTCTTTTTATTTTTAGTTTTCTATTGATACCAACATAACATTAAATTTTATGGGCAGCTTTTTATATTAAAACATAAACAGTATGAAAAGAAAAATATTGAAGTATAAAAGGCAACATAGCTTTATATGCTAAAATATGTATATTTTTTAACGTTAAATTCGTTATATCATACGCAGGTAGTTCACCGTGATTTAGCTGCTAGAAATATCCTCGTTTCCGTTGGAAAGATATTGAAGATCTCCGACTTTGGGTTATCTAGGGACGTCTATGAAGAAGATACATACACTAAGAGAAGCAGAGTAGGTTATGATATCAAATATTAAAGATCAATGCAGTAATTTGTATGTACTGTTTTGCAGTAAAAATAATGAATAGAGGGGTAGATAAAAAGATTGATGAAAATATACATTACTAATATTTTTATTATGTTACAAAGATCTGATCAATATTACAAATGCGAATAAAAATAACTGTTTCCATCATATTAGGGCCGTGTTCCTGTCAAATGGATGGCACCGGAGTCACTTTATGATCACATATACACAACTAAAAGTGATGTGTGAGTACGCCCATTCATTTTAGTAAACATATTAAAGGGATAATAACTCTTCGTATGAGAATTATATTTCACAATAAAAACATTTTGAATAACTCATAGAAATATAATACATTCTGTCTTACCACAAAAACGGCAGTTACAGCAATTATTCTGATATCTGAGCTTGTCTTTAGACCATGTGACCTCCATTGATGCCTATACTCTGTTAAAATCTCTTAAGAGATTTTAACAAAAAAACAAAACTTTTTAGAAAAAAAACAGGGACTAACTTTGAATGTAAAAATGGATTCATTAACCATTGGTAAGTATGGGAAAATTGTTGTTTACTCTAGGAAAATTCATTTTTGGCCGAAACGAAGAGTTATTATCCCTTTAAAGGTAAACGGTACTTAAGGTGCATTTAATTTTTTAAGAAAGTACATTTACGCACTTGTCCTGTTTCTCTTCCTGGTAAGACTAATGGTAATGGGTAAAGCCACATTCAACGGCATATAAACCTAGTAGCGTTTTTCTCGGAGAAAAAAACATCTTTGCAGACTCCTCCTTTTCTAAGGGAAAATTAATTTCATAATTGCCCACACCATTTTCTGGAAGCACATTTTCTTCTTATTATTACTCCTACGAGTTCACGTGCTTTCAAGTAATTGATAATTTGTAATTTCTTCGTCAGTTAATTCCTGTATTGAAACTTAAAAGCAAGCATTAATCGATGGGTTGTCTTTTGAACAGTCGCTAAAAGGTTTCATATCTTTTGTAGGATGTTCAAGGTTGTTGGTCCATTGACAGGTCATACGGTTTACAGTTTGATTGTAAACAGTAAACAAAAGTATGGCGGGTTATTTAGTTATGAGAAACATCTGTCTTGAATTTTAAATTTGTTGTTTTCTTAGGTGGTCATATGGCATAGTTCTATGGGAAATAGTAACTTTGGGTAAGAAAATAATTTTCTAGATTCTTTGATAATATTTGTGGTACTTCTTCATCGCCGATTCCTTAATTAGTGACTGCTTCAACTTCCTGAAGTCAACCAAATACTTTTTTGTTTTGAATTTATGCCATCTTGCTCACAATCAAGTTTTGCATATTACCCACAAACATTAGTACTGTATATGTCATCCACGCGTGAAAAATGAATGTTTACAAACTAAATATTTTACTTGAGAAACATGGTAAAACCCATGCTTTGGTATAGTATAGTATAGTATACTATCGCTTGCTCATGCACAGGTGCCACGCCCTACCCAGGTATCCCACCAGAGCGGTTATTTAACTTACTGAAAACGGGCTACCGCATGAGCTTGCCAAGTAACTGCTCAGAAGAACTGTAAGTGAGCCAATGGTGATTGCTTAATTCTTCCCACCTGTGCAGATTGTCAGTTTGTTTTACCGTGGTGATATGTGAATGCTGTGTGGATATTGTGAAGGAATTCAAGATTTATTATCTCTTTTCTCTTCATTTATTCCTTAAGAAAATGAAATATTTCCGTATGTAGCATATGCATATCGAAATCAAATATTACGCTATTTGCACGTTCAGAAGTACAAGAAAGCACAAATATGATGCCCATTCCCAAAATGATTCTTTTCTCTGCCTAGATATCACATAATGTCCAGGTGTTGGGCGGAGGAGCCAACAAGTCGTCCAGAGTTTAAAGAACTGGAGAACATCTTTGACAAGATGTTGCAAGAAAATGTCGACTACCTAGACCTAAGCAATACAGTAGAACAAAACCCTATCGTAGACGATGACCAGGATTCATCTAGAGTTAATGGTATTGGTAGGTATATACCATTCTGAAATTTTGTAGGTGTACAATTTATGTGTGTTTAAGGAAACACAAAGTATGGATAGTTCGTAATCGATATCAGGACAAAAACTGATTGGGGGGGAATCTGAATTGGCTTACGTAAATTGTGTTAACTTAGATTTATTTGACTAGGTTGTAAGCTACATTGGACAATTTGTTAGACAAAGCGGCCCATTTGTGTCAGCACGTTAGATGAACCACTCTATCGATCTCTGCCACCGTTATAATCTCCAAAAATGCTAGTAACTGTGTATGTCATTTATCACTCACTCGTTGATTCATTGTTTCCCGCAATTTATCTTTCATTATTTCTCATTCAATATTTTAGGGCGATTGGATGTAGTGCCGAGGGTGACAACAGAAGATGACTATGGCAGTATTCATGTTGTCCCCATGGACGATAGCGCTTATCTCCAACCCCAATCAGCAAACCGAAATAACAACACGAAATACTTTACTCTTCTTGCTAATAGTAACCGGCTAGGGTTGGTGTGTAATGGGACTTCTCCAAAGAAGTCCAGGCGAAGTGAAGAACTGTGCAACCACTCACTGCTGGCAGATAATGTTTTATATAGCATATCTGACTCCGAGGACACCGATGGAGATGCGTGGGAACGCAACACATTGGTTCAGGTTAAGACGAAAAGGAATTCATTGCCAGAGGGTGACGGTGAGAGTGTAGGTGGAGATTCTATACGAAGCACTGTTGTTTAAACATTGAAAAAACATTGGTTAGAAGAGCTGAACACATTATTTCGAGCTGTTGTAGATATTTTAGACGTCGGTTGAGGTGAAAGAGGTCTGTTTAATTATATTTGTGATATTTGTGATATTTGTTTGTGTAATATACAACCAAAGACCATTTTACGTTAAACTGGCGAACAATATACCAAAGTGTAAGTAATATATTTTTCTTACGTGGATCATTATTTGTTGTAAAAAACTGTCTTGTGATTTTAAATCTCTAGTACTTAAAAGGACTGTCCGTGAATAATTCATTGCTTTTATCTCTTCTTACTTTTGATCAAATACGTCTCAAGGCCATGTGCAGTCGTAATATTGAATCAGTGGTCGAATGGTACACATGTACTATAATGACAATGATCTTGTATGGAATGTCGGGAAAACGGACGAATACATTAAATGTCATGAAGACAGTTTACATCAGTCGGGCGATTTTACACTGCTAGGGGATGATTTTAATAACAACTAGATATGGTATGATAACATAGACAGCAAGAGAAAGGGGAAAAAGAATTTAATTTTTAAATAAGCTGAAAGATATTACTAGAAATTACATGATTTTATAGATGCTACACTGAGTGTTTTAATTTTTTCCAAATATTGTTTTGATATTGTTCCATTGCTAGCAATTTTATATCAGATAAATTGTAATCGATAGTAATAAAAATCTGTAATTTCATGACCTCGTGGAATGACATGCAAAAAAATAGTAAGAACAAACCGAAGTGATAATTTTACACCATGGTCACTGAAAAGCACCTCACGGAACTGCACATAAAATACGATTCAGCTCAAAAATGGCGAATGTGTCGTCAGTCAAAACGATTATTTATTTTTCTTAGAAATGTATCTTTGTATTCACTTAAATCGCGTAGAATGACTTGACGTTTCGAATGCTGCAGTGACCATCACTTTTACGAGCATAACAATTCTCTTAGAAAACAAGTATAATACATTCCCAATTATGCAAACGTAGTGGTAAAATCCTGTCAATTGAAATACTAGAACAACAAATATAATTTGTACTGCGCCTACCCTGTGATAAACATGAATAGCCCCTCGAAGAGCAATTAAGACTAGCCCTGTGGAATGTCGAGTCTTTTATTATACCCTTATTCCAAAAAAGATTTTTGCGTGACATTGTCTCCTCGGTGTATGCACATTTGGTTTCAGGTAGATCCATTGAAATGGCGTAGACCTAGACTTCATACATATAATTGCAATTACAGGGTAAGCCTATAACGTAAGGTTCTTGTTACCCAAGAAGCTTCTCCTCACAGTCAACACTGACTACTTTTGCTGAGCATTTGCTGCCTTAGTCACTTTCTGAATAAAATATTAATTCTGTAATCATTTACGTTCGTTTTCTGCTCTTGTAAATCATTAAAAACATTAACTAGAGGGGCGGTGGGGCTATCAACTGGATATTTTGCGTCATTGATGTTATATGAATTACGCTTAAAACAACACACATTCGGGCTTAAGTCACCTTTATTCCTACACCTCTAAAACTACTGAACAAAGGCACAAGATACATGTAATAGTAATTCAATTAAAAGGCCCAGTGTCTTTGGCACGATAACTTCCAGAGGGGGAGGAAAAAAAAATTATACAGTTAACACATTGTAAAGTTCATATAATCTACGATGAGCTCCGATGGCTTGCTGCTGCCGCTGTGCAGTTTAAAGCTGTGAGTGACCGTTGGGCAGTTTCACGTGACCACTGCATGTTAGAACAAAGAGGATGCAGGGATAAAGGTCCCTATGCAGCCCTCCTGTGTGAGTTTTAAATACCATTTAGTTTAAATGGGCACATTACATTACACCCCGATCTGCACTTGCAGTGACTTCCATATCCGGTTGATAACCCGTATTCTCTCGTTAACCCCTAAAATGATCAATATTCGCTAAAAATGATTGCAACCGATTAGCAGTTTGGTCAGATTATTCATAGTTAGGCCCCAAAAAGTGACGTTCACCTTAAAGCAAGAAAGGAGTTGAGAAATCATGTACGTTAAAATACCATGACTGATATGTTAAATAGTGTGAAACAAGGCTTCACTATTATCATTGTTTCCCAAGTCTACGCCATTCAGAGCTCTCTGATCGTGGTCTGAATATCCTGAGAAGTTTTATATGAGAAGTTTTCCATCGGGTTAGGTAAAACTTCGGGGACACTGCGTCAACCAAGGCCAGTCACATCGCCGGGTTTCGTTGATGAAGTACTGCCCAAGGGGACAGTCCTTTATATACGGGATATTATGAGAACAGTGAATCCACTTGTCACACTGGTACGGGCAGGGATGTGGGTAAATACCATTGGGGTCCGGAGAACATGTAACTGAAAAATGAAGTAAAAATTTAATGGATGTATGTTCAAACAATAAAAACGGACACTTAAGCGATAAAAGGCCATTATGTATTTGCGATGATGTGTTTTGTTCATTTTACAACTATATGTTCATGTTCAAAGAAACAATTCAATAAGGTGCTGGGTATTATGCAAGTACTCACATCCATGATCACTGAAGTCACAAGGTGGTCTTAAGTCGTCTGTTTCGTCGTAGCTGCTGTGTCTTGTAAAATTGTACAAATGTTCAATGAACGCCATTGATTTGTTATAGTACGATATGATGATAGTGGATACCACAATCGGCTGTATTCCAAAATTGCAGAAAGTACCATCGAAATCACCGGAATCTATGGAAAAGAACATCAAACCTCCGAGACCCCGCTCTTCGACGTAGAGTGCCTGCAAGTACCAGTCATGATAATTCGAATGGTGTGCCATTAAACAGAATCGGTCTAAAACATTTATGAATATAAACGATTTACGAACGTTTTAGACAGACATTTTAGATACAATGCATCCAACCAAAATGCATCAACTTGAAAATAACGACTTAAATTTGATTTCTTATAGGCTACCTTCCACTCGCAGCGTTCCTCTGTTAGAGGAATTAAGATACAGCATGGAAATTTTATACAGTTTGAACATGAAGTTTATTACAGACAACTTCTATCAATCGAAATGAACATCATCTCGCATCTATCCAATGAAAGAAGGACTATACTGTATAACATACCGCCATTTGATTTACATGCGTATTTACCTTGCGTGCTGAACTGATCGGGCACTCGAAGCTGACCCACTCCCCAGTCTGGCGGTTATAGAAGTAAGGAACCTGGTGCTCCTCGTGCCAAATTAACGTGTAACCCGTCTCCTCTAGTAGCATGGGGCAAATCTGAACATAGGAGCAGATTAAAGATCTTTTTGAATAGCAGTTAATTTCATTTTTTTTGTACAATCTTGGTTGTTTTAATTTCATTTACATTTAATTTATTTTTAAAATCTCAATTAGCCTTGCAATTTAAGAAATCAGTACTGCAAGTGATTAAGATTTGAAAATAAAAAAATTGAGAAATTAAAATGGCAAATTAAGGCTTCGTTCACATGGAATGTCTATTTTCTAAAAATCTATTTTCTATTCGCGCTAACTTATGATCACGGTCTGTGCCCTGAATATCCCGCCGCGTAATTACTGGCAGCGCGAGCCAGTTACTTATAGTATACTTATAGTATACTTATAGTACTGGCTCGCGCTGCCAGTAATTACGCCGCGGGATATTCAGGGCACAGACCGTGATCATAAGACATACCGCAAATAGAAAATAGAATTTAGAAAATAGACATTGCATGTGAATGAAGCCTTAGAAAATAGACATTGCATGTGAATGAAGCCTAAGTCGCATCCAGACCGCTTACCTCATTAAATCCCAGCATACCGGATGCTCGGCTGTACGGACCGAATTTTGGCCCCGCTCCGGTAGAGGGTGCTCCCACGCCAAATTGAAAGTCATTGGCCAAGTGAAAAGTACGCCCATATAGAGGTATGCCCAGATTAATGTTTACCGGGTCGAAGCCATTTTTGATGTAGTATTCAACAGTCCATTTCTATATAAGAAAATACATGTATATCTCATCTGAATGCACGTTTGTGCAGCGTATGGTATAAAATTTTTGAAGACAGCTTTAGCTACAAAAAGAAAAACCTACATATATTTCAATCTACTTATTTGGAAATGAGAGTTCAAAATTAATGAAATGCTACTGATGAGTCTGAGGACAATAACCATTGTAAATAAACTTACCGCGTTGAATTCTTGGGCCGGGTCCTTAGTTCTGGGGTTAAGGGCGTTGTGAATTCCAGTAGGTGAATACTCCCAGCTCCCATGGTAGTCATACGCCATGATATTGATAAAATCTACCCAGCTAGAAAGAATACACTTACAAATGCCATATTGATGACAAACAGGTCTTTTTCATAAATAAAAAGACCACAGATATACAGTACTTTAAAAATGAGCAGAAGAAGAATCTTATACTGTTTCAACAATATTATTACACGACACTTTTAGAACACACTTACTTTCGCAAGGCCTCAATGTCAAAACCTCTGTCAATGATCCACCTGCCGGCTGGCACCGTGGCACTTAGAATGCGTTTCTCGTTCCCCATAGCTTCATTGGCCCAGAAGTTAATGTACAGTGCCTTAAGTATGATAATACATACATACAAACAGAATAATTTGTTCGATAATTCAGCATTTGTTGAGTATACTAAAAGCCAGCTTTGTTACATGTATTATATATAACACCATAAGGAAAGTGCAATAGTATTTTTGCTAGTAAATTTAACCCCACAATGAAGATTACCTGTCAATCTTGGATATACCGTATATGCACAATTCAACAATACATTCCTGTCGCGGTATTTATGCCTTCTTTCGTGTGTGTATTATTCATGCTAGTTTTTTTTTTTATATAAAAATTAATGTTTTATAAGTGAACAAATTAAAGACTCCAATTTTAAGGATTCAAAAATAAGTAGTCCCTCCAAACGTTGTCAGAAAATACAATTGCCAAACCCACACTTTCTGAATAAGAAATAATTTTTGATCGACATTGCCTTCCATCAAACTAAAGAATCAGTCCAAAATGAAGGAGAGAAGGGATAGAAAATAATCTCACCGACATCAGTTCAATGTATTTGAGCCTGTCAGTGTAGGGGCTGCCCAAACTCCCAGGATAGCACCAGTTGATGTCCACACCATCAAAGCCATACTTGTTTAGGAATCCGCCCACACTTCTGGTGAAGTGGAGTATCTTGTTTTGGTCGGAAGCCATCATGTGGAAAGGGAGGGAGCCCACTGCCCAACCTCCTATTGATATCATCACTTTCAGTCTGGGGGTGTACCTCTTTAAATCTACCAGTTGGCGGTAAAACCCTGAAGAGTATAACAATAGGCACGTGTGTTAAGCCTTAGTAAAAATGCACCAGTAATAAGTGATCGGATTCATCATAACTGCCAAACATTAGGGGAGACCGGGGCTAGTTGGACCCAGGGGTAAGTTGGCCCCCCATCAATTTATGACAAAGTAACTATGGGGTAAAAGAAATGATCACATCATTTTATAAAGTGACCGTATCCAATAGTGCTAAGAAAACGTCGGCAGTGAGTCCAAATGAAATAATTTAGCATCTTAAAGTAATTTTATTACAGAGACTTGATGGGGGAGGGGGGGGGCAACTTACCCCGGAGTCCAACTAGCCCCGGTCTCCCCTAAACAACACACTAGTACTCTATACATTCCATGTGAGATTTTGATGCAACTAATTTGTATTCTCTTCCGTAATAAATGACTCATTAGTGCCTATTGATGTGATTCACGTATAATATGACAATATCATTTCACTTACCTTCTTCTTCTGCGACATTTTCGTTAAAAGGCACAATTTCTCCATTTTCAATGCTGATGGTAGCAAATGCGTACACCAGATGTGTACATAGAATTCCGGTCAGAAAACTGGGTTTATATCTCCCGCGGCCAGGCCGTGTGAAAGAGGCTCGATCGACGAAGCATATCCTCTTATATCTATCGTCAAATGGTTTATACACTTCATCTAGAGTATCGATGTTTACTAAAAGTATAAATGTCCAACAATGACGTAAAATAATTTTGCTGCGTCAGTTTTTACATCCGTGCAGCGATATCATACATGTATCTACTACTGATCAGTGACATTTTATAAGGTCTACAAACTGTTGCTGGGAAATTATTCATGCTTCGAATATTTATCACATTTTATTTCAAACTTTGCTGACTAACTCTACCTAGCGGGTGCTTTACCGAATAAATCTTTAACAGAGACATTTAATTAATGTCTGTGTTCCCTTTATGTTGATACCAATCCAAATGTCAGTGTAATTATTCAAAGGCTGTTGGAAAGATGACATAATGCCAGAAGACGTAGATTAATTTTTACACTGTCATTTTCATATCATTATCCATGGAAGAGAGTCTATCTGATTTACAATTAAAACTATGGAGCAGAAGACATCCAGAAATCCTATCTTTGACGATTTTTTTTAAATATATCGTGCTAAATAGCACAGGTACACTTTTTATTTACAATGAAAATAGTATTGCAGTTTCCTGTCGAATGAATTTGACGCAAAACATATACTCATTTATTTATTTATTTATTTATTTATTTAATATCTCGAATGATTCAGTATAGAAAAGACAGTCAGGTTTTATGATGTCGTACAAATGCCAGCATTGCGACCAAATTATGGCAGTTAACTTTTGAGTCCCTTACACCATTAACCCTGGTTTGATGTCTTATTCATTGTGGTAAATTGTGAACAGTATTCTGATTAGACTGGCTTGAAATATGTACTACTGTACCATTAGTACACACACATACACACCACGCGAATTTCCGTGGTGTCTCAAAGTGTGATTTATTAATGCATCGTTTTATGCGTTTTTCACATTCAAAGCATTGGTGTTTAATTAGATGGTGGCGGTTTCACCTATTGTCCATCTACATCAATGCCTCAGATAACTAGTCTCAGGTGTGCAAAAAACACGGAAAATAAATGGTGATAATCATTACATGCCATCTAACACACGTGTGAATGCAACAAATAGTTTTTTCATTACTATTTTCATTTACTATTCAGTCGCCACGGCAACTGCACATTCCAGAGTAGTGTGTTGGCCTAGTTCGACTGCCAGTACGAGAGAGAGAGAGAGAGAGAGAGAGAGAGAGAGAGAGAGAGAGAAATGAAGCAGGAGCAGAAGAGGAAAAAGGATAATGTTCTAATTAGCAGGAGAAGGGTATCGTACTTGCACGTAACAATTTGATTGAATGTTGTAGGGAGGGAGGTGTCACTTGACCGTTTGCTATGAAAACAGCACTTAGACGATAACTTACATGGTAGAATCTGCTGAAGACTTAGAATTCCATAATCAGATGTACCGTCAACTTGGGTTTGCGAAACGAGGTACAGAACATGGAAGATGACCACGACGGCCAGCCGACTGCAGAAATCCTGTAAATAAGACATAAAAATGAACAAGTGCGGACAACTGCCTAAATATCCTATAACGCCTTATTTTAAACTTGAAGTATATATTATATGTGTCTTAATGTCTTACTTATACGCCAAATTAAAGAAGTCTGAAATGCTTAAGGTGGCGCCGTTTTCGGATCCCCTTGATACATTGAGGGTTTAAGGTTTCCGTTTGATTTACATAATGATACGCATAAAAGAAAACACCTTGTGTTGACTTAAATAATCAATTTTTCTCCCCAGTTTGATCAAAGACGTGTTGAAAAGCTAGGATCCAAAATAAATTTTTTTATTTTGGATCCTAGTGAAAAGTAAGCATAACTGCTTTAAACATTAAGTTGCTGTTATCCCTTTCAGGAAACACTTGAATGTGTCGCCCACCCTTTCTGTTTCCATGGATCACAAAACCAATTATCGCAATGTCTGTACTGATGAAAACAAATAAATATTTTAACGACTTTAAGCCAGATACATCTTTATAGAAAAAATCATCAGAGTAGTTTTTTTACACTTACTGCAACATAGGAAACTTACCATACTTTTTGACAACCCGTTGGATCGCTGTGCACCTGTTCATAAGTACGACCATGTGTGTCAATATGCATGTAATTACAGGAATCGTCCTAAGCTGACAAGTAATGACAACACCTTACCTTTTGTCACGTAAATAGTTATTTGTTCACGGTTAAATTATTGATATCTCTGGAAGCCGCCCGGCTATGTTAGGTTGCCAGGCTACAACATTCATCTAATGAAGGATGCTTGTTCCACACTTTCGTGTTGGGAGTGGTAATTTCGAGGAGTGTGATTGTTGCGCTCTCGAGGGACTTCATATTGCACTTTTTGTGGGACTTCAAATTTACAACACACCGCCTGGACAAGAAAAGAAGTGGGCGACTGATTTTTTAAGCATATGGATTTTTAAACAATGTCTGAAGTGGTCTACAAACTGCCCCTTTGGTCAGACGTTGAATTTCTCTTACACAAATGGCACCAACGAGTAAAAGGCCCGATATAATTGTCCTTTGGAGTTAGTGACAGGTATGGTATTCTACTGTGGTTTTAATCGATAAATCATATTTGGTCAAACAAGGCGTACAGATTTATCAAAATTTAAGCGGTCAACACGGACCGATCTAGTTAAAGAAAATGAAGTCCTTTTTTAGACGATTTGGGCTGGAATAAATGTCGAAAATCGTAAGAAAGCGCTATATAAATCAGAGATGGCGTCCTCCAAGCCAAGCCTGTGATTTAATGGGATTAATAAATCTTAATTAATTTAATTTTGACACGGGCGTCTTTTATCCAGATCTATTATTCAACTTTATTGCGTCAAAAGAGCCTTAGTAAGGTACCTTGAATTCACTTGACCCATGACATTAGTGAAGACACTTTTATACTTACCATCAGAGTGGCAAGGTATAAACGCAGTTTTAACACACGCCCAGGACTTAAACCACTTCTTGATGAAGTTATTTGAGGACAAGTGACACTTCCTGATCATATTTTGCCATNGCTACGGCCCTGCATACACACCACACGAATTTCCGTGGTGTCTCAAAGTGTGATTTATTAATGCATCGTTTTATGCGTTTTTCACATTCAAAGCATTGGTGTTTAATTAGATGGTGGCGGTTTCACCTATTGTCCATCTACATCAATGCCACAGATAACTAGTCTCAGGTGTGCAAAAAACACGGAAAATAAATGGTGATAATCATTACATGCCATCTAACACACGTGTGAATGCAACAAATAGTTTTTTCATTACTATTTTCATTTACTATTCAGTCGCCACGGCAACTGCACATTCCAGAGTAGTGTGTTGGCCTAGTTCGACTGCCAGTACGAGAGAGAGAGAGAGAGAGAGAGAGAGAGAGAGAGAGAGAGAGAAATGAAGCAGGAGCAGAAGAGGAAAAAGGATAATGTTCTAATTAGCAGGAGAAGGGTATCGTACTTGCACGTAACAATTTGATTGAATGTTGTAGGGAGGGAGGTGTCACTTGACCGTTTGCTATGAAAACAGCACTTAGACGACAACTTACATGGTAGAATCTGCTGAAGACTTAGAATTCCATAATCAGATGTACCGTCAACTTGGGTTTGCGAAACGAGGTACAGAACATGGAAGATGACCACGACGGCCAGCCGACTGCAGAAATCCTGTAAATAAGACATAAAAATGAACAAGTGCGGACAACTGCCTAAATATCCTATAACGCCTTATTTTAAACTTGAAGTATATATTATATGTGTCTTAATGTCTTACTTATACGCCAAATTAAAGAAGTCTGAAATGCTTAAGGTGGCGCCGTTTTCGGATCCCCTTGATACATTGAGGGTTTAAGGTTTCCGTTTGATTTACATAATGATACGCATAAAAGAAAACACCTTGTGTTGACTTAAATAATCAATTTTTCTCCCCAGTTTGATCAAAGACGTGTTGAAAAGTAAGCATAACTGCTTTAAACATTAAGTTGCTGTTATCCCTTTCAGGAAACACTTGAATGTGTCGCCCACCCTTTCTGTTTCCATGGATCACAAGACCAATTATCGCAATGTCTGTACAGATGAAAACAAATAAATATTTTAACGACTTTAAGCGAGATACATCTTTATAGAAAAAATCATCAGAGTAGTTTTTTTACACTTACTGCAACATAGGAAACTTACCATACTTTTTGACAACCCGTTGGATCGCTGTGCACCTGTTCATAAGTATGACCATGTGTGTCAATATGCATGTAATTACAGGAATCGTCCTAAGCTGACAAGTAATGACAACACCTTACCTTTTGTCACGTAAATAGTTATTTGTTCACGGTTAAATTATTGATATCTCTGGAAGCCGCCCGGCGATGTTAGGTTGCCAGGCTACAACATTCATCTAATGAAGGATGCTTGTTCCACACTTTCGTGTTGGGAGTGGTAATTTCGAGGAGTGTGATTGTTGCGCTCTCGAGGGACTTCATATAGCACTTTTTGTGGGACTTCAAATTTACAACACACGGCCTGTACAAGAAAAGAAGTGGGCGACTGATATTTTAAGCATATGGATTTTTAAACAATGTCTGAAGTGGTCTACAAACCGCCCCTTTGGTAAGACGTTGAATTTCTCTTACACAAATGGCACCAACGAGTAGAAGGCCCGATATAATTGTCCTTTGGAGTTAGTGACAGGTATGGTATTCTACTGTGGTTTTAATCGGTAAATCATATTTGGTCAAACAAGGCGTACAAATTTATCAAAATTTAAGCGGTCAACAAGGACCGATCTAGTTAAAGAAAATGAAGTCCTTTTTTAGACGATTTGGGCTGGAATAAATGTCGAAAATCGTAAGAAAGCGCTATATAAATCAGAGATGGCGTCCTCCAAGCCAAGCCTGTGATTTAATGGGATTAATAAATCTTAATTAATTTAATTTTTGACACGGGCGTCTTTTATCCAGATCTATTATTCAACTTTTTTGCGTCAAAAGAGCCTTAGTAAGGTACCTTGAATTCACTTGACCGATGACATTAGTGAAGACAAATTTATACTTACCATCAGAGTGGCAAGGTATAAACGCAGTTTTAACACACGTCCAGGACTTAAACCACTTCTTGATGAAGTTATTTGAGGACAAGTGATACTTCCTGATCATATTTTGCTATTATTTTATGTCGCAAAAGGTAATTATAAATTTGTCACCTCCTCCTAAACTACAAGGGTCAGTGCGAGAACTGGGCCCGAGGGGATGACGATATTTGAAATACTATGCAAGGCGCTTAAGCAGAGTTGGGACGTTGCTACAGAGTTATGGGGAGTGTCTGGAAAGGAGGATCAAAGGTTGGTTAAACGGCGAAAAATACCGCCTACCATCGGCAAATATGTTAAGTTCGAGCTTCCAACAAAAAAAAAAAAAAAAAAAATCTTACACTTTGCATCTTTGATACGGAATGTATGGTTTTACATTCGAAGACGCAAAATAAGCGATGGGTCATAGAGTTATTTAAACGAAAAGAAGGCAACATAGATGGACGCAAACATTTGCGTTATATTCAGTGGGTGGGGGCTTTCTCTTGATTAAATTATTATAACAATTTTGAATATAAACAACAACCATGACAACTTTTCTTCAAATCATATTTTAATATGCAATTCCAACACTTTTGTACAGAGTATACAGATCAGCCCAGTTTTCAAGGCACAATACAACAATTACTGCAGCTATATACAGAAGCTGTAGTCCTCAAGTAATAATGATAATAATAAGTTAGCTAAGAAATAATTTACATTATATTAAACGTATCCCTTATCCCTGTTATAAATATGTACAGTCAAACGAAATATCTCCTAATGACTTAACACGTGGTATGAATTATGTTCCACACAAGGACAATTTTCAAAATGTACGTAACAAGTGCGCTGTATAACTATTAACACACATTAAGACAAATTCAACACAGAGCACAATTACAACATCTGAATATATATATATATTTGACTGATATAAACCCAAATGACCTGGACATTCATTTATCATTCATTATTATCACCAAGGTTGATAGCAAGTTTGCAATCTGTCCGTTAGCACATGTCAAATAGCACCACCTAAAACGCTACCAACTTTTCTAAATTCTTGTCCTGGATTTTCAACTATAATAGGTATTTGTTCTTTGGCTCAAGAAGCGTGTTGGTTTTGTTATCCAAAACTTCACCGTTTATCATTGTAATACTGGATAAAAAAAGAGTTACTAATGTTAATATAATACATATAGAATAATATTGTCAACTTCTTAACTCTTGGTTTCAACTGACATATTGGCATTATCAGTATACATGTAATTGACTTTTTTTTTTTTACTAAATCAATAATCATTTCTTTTAATTTGTGCTTTTGTCTTTATTCAAGCTCAATCTAATACCTAAAGCTATTAAAAAATTGACATAACACAAAAAGACCAATTAAATGCTTGAGAATGAGGAAAAAAATCATGAAATTGAAGGAAAGATATCATGTGCACCTCAGCACTTTCTCTGAAGACAATTCTTAACTAATTTCCTTCCAAAAATAAAATGAAGGTGTCCAATCTACTTGTTAAATCTAAAGCTACGCAATATCTAAATCACAGACTAGGTTTATTACACAAAAAAATCTACATAGGCACTACAAAATGTTTTTGAATGGAGAAAGACCCCACCTTCTTTTGGAGATGAAGTATTTATTCATAAATGAATCTCGAGTATCAAGGTAATCTGAGAGTTACAGCTATAAATACAGGGACAAATTAAGAACATATTAACTAAATACGCTGTTACAAATCACTATCCAAGCATCGCCTGCTTAACACAAATAGCAAATTGCTAAAACACTGCCTTCCTTATCCTTTTGCAAGAAATGCATGCACGTTAGAAGTTGCACAGGGACTGACAGTGAATTCTGAAATGAAACATTTAGTTTGATCACAATGCTCTTGTCAGGTCCAAGGCTTCACAGAGACAATCTAAAGTCTGCAGTCAGTCCCACACAGACTGGTGCATAAATTTGACGATCTTTCTACGTGAAATTTCTCCCAATGTGAACTGTTGCCACCATTTTTCGTGTTCCTCACCATAATCCTGCAAAATCAAAATGCTTTCTCTGTGTTCTGTATACAACATGGATTCCTGACCTCCAAAAAGTGCAAGACTAGATCTCCATATGGCTCCAGTGATGAAAACCAATCTCCTCATGAAAGAGTGGCCTATTCAGTCACATCTATGGATTCAGTAACACACAGACACATGCCACACAGAAAATATACAGGATACATCACTATTTGACCACCTCACCAAAACACATGTGCAAGCATGTTTGTGAGGTACAATAAGACATTACAAAGGTACCTACAGGTGTATTCCTTATGCACCGTGTGTAGTTTTTTCACATAATTCATTTGCATATTCAGACATGAATGTTAGAAACTCAAATGGCTTTCACCTAAAATAGGTCTTCGGTGTACTAATTTTGTGACAGACAAAATTTGTGCGTACACTTTGGAAAAGTCCACTGGCACTAGTGACTGGAACTGTGCTCAAAAGAGTATAATTTCTGTTAACATGCTAGACTTGTAAACAGAGACAATATCTTAACTGAACATGCTTCAGCTTGAAAGAATCATAGCCACATTAGATATGTCCTACATGCAAAAAACATCCCCCATCTTTTTTCTGAGGAAATTCTCGGGTATACCATTGCATGCAGATGTCTGGTTACTCTTAATTTCTTCTCTTCCTTATATTATATACACAGAATGATTTCTATTTGTTCCAAATATATCAAAATACCTTTCTGTATTATCTTTTATATAGCCTTCTGTAAGAAGTACAGATCCTCACCCAGTATACGTTACTGAGAAAAGTCTAGAGTAACAATCAGCATCTCTTTCTAAGGATTTCAACAAGAAATTATTCCCTACACATGTCAGTACTTTGCATGTTTGTGTCTAGTAGTTCCAAATCTGTGACAACTTCCATGGAATTCTTGTAGTGACGACTGGGTGATGTCTCCCACAGACTGAAAACGTTTTCTGTTGGGTTCCAGTGCCCTTCTGGAATCTGCTGCGGCACCATCTTCTACAGATAAGTCTAAAATGAAGAAACAGGTAAATTTTCAATTCTATAAAAAGAAATACAAGAACTGATAAAATCTGCCACTTTTAAGCTATCTATTTGTTGATTTTAAAAACAGAAATACAAACATCCCCAAAACAATGCAAAGAAATAATTTCACGTCAGTGGTTGCATGGATGTTATGGTCAGATGTGTGTTAAAAACTTTTTGTATATTGAATTCCTATGTAAAGAGAATTACAAACAAATTGAGAAGTATAATAATTTGACTTTCTGTTTTGCTTCCATAACTATACTTAAAACATATGTAATTAACAGGTCCTAATATTGCTGAGGAGAATATGAGTGGTATAAGGTTTTCTGTTTATTGAAAATAGTGATCAGTGAAACAACACTTTCCTCACCTTCACATCATATTTCATGTTGTTTTTCTGACAACTTGCAATTTTTCTGATATATAATAACTTGCAATTCATAAATACTATATTGTTCCTCAGATTGTGTGTAACAATTTTTGCAATTCTTAGTATTATTAATATATATATATATATATATATATATATATATATATATATATTGCATGACAATTTAGTTACAGAGATGAGCAGGTTTTTAGATTTTTACTCAAAACATGGCCTTGCTACAAAAACCTTGGAAGAGATGTTTAACAGATAACGCATTCAACACATTAAACTTCTCAAAGCAAATTTCAAATCACGAATGCAAAATAATGTTGCAAATCATAGTGCAAATGATTGGAGGTATAAATAAAAAAGTTAAACAGAAAATTGCCAAACAGTCACTATATTTCTAGACTAACTACATATCCTCGTCTCAGATCCATTCTGCTGCTGTGTTAGAGTAAATCAACGAGATCAGTTCATACAGGGAAGATGTGGAGTTCCCTACAATGAGTGTGGCCTTTTCTACAAACACTTCTGCCTGTGGTTGTTATATTGTGGAAGAGGAATGGTACAAAGCAACATTTCAGTGTGTGTGTGTGTGTGTGTGTGTGTGCATGTGCCCATGCGTGCATGCGTGTAATTATGCATGCATATGCATTGAAAGGCTTAACTTTTTATGTGAGAAGTATGAATTACACTTAACCATTTTTTAAACAATTTATACTCTAAACTGTCATTTGACTTCAATAGCCATTATAATCATCTTTGCATGTGGTTTTCCATTTTAAGGCACTTAGTCAAAAGAAAAGCACAATCCAAAATAAAACTTCAAAATAACCTTTTATTCTTGTAGTTGGTGATGGGTTTGACAAAAGCAGGTAAGATTTGAAAATTGGCAATAAAACCATTTTACCTTATCAACAGATGGTTTGTGTTTAAAATCTTGTTTAGCAAATGTTAAACACATGAAGGTAAGTGAGAGGCAGTTGGGGATTGGGGGGGGGGGGGGGGGATCACCAGGTAGGGACACGAGGTGGGGCACTTTGCAACACTAAATAATATATATCCACAAATGACCTCACACCAGCAGAATGATTCCTCCTAGCTAGCTATAGGACAGTGAACTAAAGCTGTCTCCTATATACCAAACTAAAAACAAACCCTGTCTTTACAGACAGCTGTAATAGCATGGCATGATTGTGTACAGCTTTAGAATCACTGGCTTTGTCGTATGTTCTTCAATCTCAGGGTTAGAAATTCAGCATTTACTAAAAAAAAATCTAATAAATTTTAAAACCCGAAAGTCACTGAAATCCTGGAGTATTGTTGGAACTGAAAGTTTGTTAGTTACAAATTCTAGCAGTCAATGTTGAAGTTCTAACCCTGCATCTAAGACGTAAGAGTAGTCTATGAAATACACCTTGTTAACCTCACCTAAGTACTCTACACCTTCTCTCCCTAGAAAATAATAATCAAAAGAAGCAAGCTTCAGAAATAAAACTAACAAAAGAAAATGTTGGTGAAAAAGTTTGTATTCTGTGCAACAATATTGTAAAGAAGTCCTTTAATTCTTTGAACATACATTTTTTTCTTGGTATGAAATACCACAATAACAGTACAATCTGAATCAGAATAAAATTGGCATTCATTTTTTTTTTTTTACAAATATTAATTTTAACACCATTCTTCTTTATTTAAGTTAACAGTGAATAATTGTGAGAATAGCACATGCACATGCATAAATATTGAGAAAATATATATTTAACTTTAACTTCATACACTACATGCAGGTTATCTATACAGTGTTACTGTTTAGAGAATTCAAAACCATAATATTATGTGTCATCAAACAAAACAAGTCTACCTCTTTGAGGGTCTGGTGTTGTTAAGCATGGGGTGTCTTGAAACATGTAGGTATTGGTGTTAAATTACAGAAGAGTCACACATGAAGATAACTTGAAAATATTGGTTATATAAATAAATCAGATAGCCTTATTGAGGCTAAGGAACTTGAAAAGACTAGTAGATAACCAGCGGGTTTTAAAGCAATGCAGGACTCTGCTTTAACTTCATAATCTACTTCTCATTTTTTACGTGAGTATTTTTCAGATTCTGATAGCATCAAAAGCAATTGGTTTCCATACATTTGGAGTCATTCTTAAAAATTTGTTGATGGAGACAACCATCTTATGCAGAGTCCTGCGCTGAATGATTATACATTTAACAAGTCATTCTACATGTTGATATCAAGCAGGTAACCAAAAATGAGACCTTCATTGACAACAAAATAGAGTATTCTTAATTCAAAACACAATTCTGAATTATTTGAGCATAATTATAGTCTTGCATGCACTTTATCTAAGCACCACAGATCATAAAACAAGAAATGCAGAAAAAAACACATAAGTTTAGTAATATGTTACAACACTTACGTATACAAGTGACAAGTTAGTATAAATGATAACAGAAGAACTTAGAGCCTGGTGGAGAAATTCTGTAAAATGACTGGTCTATAAAGCCGATCATTTCCAGGGAGAGCCATAGAGCGTCTGACAGTGTGGCTCCCAAAGCCTCCCGGCATGGAAGACCTTGGCAAGTCCTCATGTCTAGCGGTTTCTACATCTCCAGCACCAGGTTTCACAGTGCTGAGTGGTCCATTTTGCTGTGGATGTTTTCCAAGCAGGGAATGATAAGTATTGTTGAAGGTCACAGCAGGTAAAGAAGGCATGGTTGCAGTGTTAGTGCTACTTCTACTGATACTATTACGCAGGGGAGCAAGGACGGAAGTCACAGTTGAAGCAGGAAGGGTAGTTTGATGGTGGACCGAGTTCTAAAGAGGACAAAAAGGAACAAAAAAACAAAGTACATACTCCACAAAACAACACCCAACTACAAGATAGGTCAAATAATAACAGTTAATGTGGTTTGAACTAAGTTCGACACATGCTTTACAAAATCAGATCATATAAATTGCCTTGTTATAGAAATGTGTGAGATATGAGAAGATGATGCACAATGATATATAGGCATACACTTATATATGTGTGCAACTAATAAGAGGACAATTCATTCCACAGCAAGCTAATGACTATAACAAGCAAACATTTTTATTTATAACAACAACATGGATACATGTTATTAGTTAGTTATCAACACTTGATGGTTTAATATATAACTCCCTCAGTGACTGAGCTGAAGCCATCTCAAAACTAACTACAAAAAGAAGCCTTTAAATACCCATAGCATAATATATTGAAAAATATGTAATCAGAGTCAGCTCCAAAGCAAAATATTTGTTACCAATTAGGTAGTTAATAATTTGGTGCTTCATACAAAACCAAAATGTGGCATTTACTAGTGAAAAAATGTACACATAATAAAAGGTTTCACAACTTACCACAATCACATTGCCATCATTTGTCTGGTCTGCATCTCCCGCAGCTGACGAACTGAGTTGAGATAAATCTGTCGTCTTCCCTGTGTGAGTAGTGAAGTCAGCTGACTTGGTCTCTTCTGTTGTCTTGGCCTCATCCGTAGGCTCAGTTGTAGTGGTCACCACTGCTGTTGACGCCACAGCCGTTGCCAGTTCCATCACCACATTAGCACCACCAGACGTGGTTCCTGAGGTACCGGGGGTTGGTAGACCATCATCGTCTACCTGAACACCATCATAGGGGGTGCTGATGTGGATGTCCTCAATGGACACAGCCTGGGATGGCTCATTTCCTTCTGAAACCACATACAGTATTTTCTTTTTACTGAGACAGTAACCAGGTAAGCCCTGTGTGCACTTAATGTCCATGCCTTATAACATTGAATTTTTTTCAATTTCTGGTAACTAAATCCATGCAGTTCTAATAAAATGCCCTGTCTTTGATTAATAAGCATCTAATCTCATCACAAAAGGACAAAGGTGATATTTCTTGTTAGTAGTCATTTCAAATTTTCAAGCATGCATGTCATGCTGCTTCCATGCATAACCTTAAGTTAAAATAACTACATTTCTATCTATCCAGCACATTTATTATCAAGTATTCAAGCAAAGACATAAGAACTTTATCAACAACTTTACAGAACTTATTAATAAATTGCATATGCATCAACTGCATCGAAGTTACCCATTCTAATCAACATCAAATGTTGTGAAGACACTTCTTAAGGAGATGTGCCTTCTGTAGCTATACAAAACTACAACAGGCAGGGACATCAACATCTGGCTCAGTAACACAAGCCAGGTAAGCAAAGAAGCAGACAAAGATATTGCAGGAGATACACTCATATTATTGCAACAACCAGATCCACATCAGGATCGTGATGAGATTAGAATAGAATCACATATGATCAGGGAATCTCTTGATTTAACACAAGCCCATTACGTAGTTTCATACGAAAGACAGGATATTTTCATGCTGAGAAACCACCAAAACAGCAAGCAGGAGAGGGCTTGCAGATCAAGTACTCATGAAGCTCAAGCACTGATGTCAACAACAATAAAACAAAAGGTACAGAAGCAGCATTTTCAAACAGTAATATGGATGATTAGAGCATACTGAAATAATCACACAACTGAACACAGATTTGCACACTGGTGTGTTAAACCATTAACAAGGCTACTTCAGTTACAGGTGCAGCAACAAGCATCAAAATATATTTGCACTTTTCAATGTGCTGAACCACAAAAGGGGGAGTGCATAAAACTACAGAAAAAACTCTCTTAGTGCCTGCTTTCAGTGAGAAAACACGCGTGCCAACCCACATAGCGTACAGAATACAATCCAAATTGACCAAGTATTATAACAAGCTGGAAAAGAAACACTAAGGATACTGAAATATAAAGGGTCAGAGTCTGAAGACCAGAAGCAGCTGGAGCTCACATAATCCACATCTACCCACAAATGAGGCCTCTGCTTACACCACACCGACATAGTTACCTAAGAAAATATCGCTGGAACAACTTGGACTAGAGGCCGTGAAGGAGGGCGTGCCCTCTGTAAATTCAGTACGTGTGGGTGTTGATACTGATACACTAAGCGCGGGCGAGCCCCGTACACGTGCTAGGGCATCTAGGGACACATCACTCCCCGCATGCTCCCCTGCTGGTATAGCAGTAGTAGAAGAGTAGGAATTGGGTGTACCTTGGAATGCTGTACTTGACATAGGAATACTGGCACCCTGCTGACTGGAAGTGCTGGCATGTCTGAAACACATTGAATATATTAGGTTATTTATTCATTAAATTTGAAAAACAAAATGAATCCATTATATTTTCAAAAGCAGTATTTATTAACAATTAACAGAAATGTTGATTTTAAAAATTCTGAAAAGTGAGTTGGTTTCATGGAAGACGATGCATTTTTGAGAGTAATTAAAGTAATAAATCATGAAGAAGTGAAATTATAATGGAATGAATAGTGTTTGAAATGTCCAATTAATTACCATACCCTGTATAGTAGACTTCTTTGTCTTTTTTTTTTTATTCTAGGTAGTCATGTATCTTACACCCAGATGGATCATAATTTATCTGGGAAATGAGGTTTGTTTTTTTTTTGCTTACCAAAAATTACGAGAAATATATATATATATATATATCATCAATTCATACAGATGGAACCATACCAAACAGGAATTAGGGGGGGTAAAAATATTCTTTCCTCTCCTATGTTAAGAACAAATTCCAGGTTATTTTTTTTTCACAAATGAAAATGCATAAAAACTGAAAATGCTGCCGACACCACCATCTTCACACCCTGTGACACATGGCCCCACTTACCCATGATCATCTACAAACACATCCTCCTCATTGTCACTGTTGTCAGCCTGTATTGCAAAGCCCTGCCTTGTTGCTATGGCCTCAGAGAAAGGCGGGGGTGGGGTCGACATAGTCGGGAGGAGATCTGGGCGTGGCCGGGACACTGCTCTGGGTAGGGCACCTGAAAGAGTAACTAGGGCATAATATTTGTATCCATTTTGGCAAGCTGGGGTAGTATATTGTAGTGCTTCAGACACATAAGAAGACTCCAGCTATTCTACATGCACGAATACTGTGAACTGTGAAATGGCAGTTTGCTTTGCCCTCTACACAATGCCTTCTTTGGAGGAAATCTTCATCTTACCTCTTTTTCTCTTGGAAAATCCAGTAAAGAACCTTGTATTTTGAATTGATCAAGTCAGTTGGTTTGGCACTCCATATTTCAGTTTTAAATCAAGTGAAAAAAAATACTGACAACTAAGCAAACATTCTAACATTCGCATAACCTCCAACTGAAATTTGCCAGTTTTGTACAAAACCCAGAATCTTTTTAAACTAAGCATTCTTTTCTACATGCAAAGAAGGAAGTTTCTACTTGTCTAGTGTAGTATTTTATACCTCACCTCTCTCATCCAATGATGTTTGAGTTCTCAGTCGACCAGGCACAGATAGTGGCAGTTTAGTTTCACCTTCTGTAGTAGAAGACCTCTGTCGGGAATATGGACGCTTCTTTGACGGTGTCTGTTTCAAAGCTGCAATATGAACAAACACATGCATATTAAGTGGTCTTGAACACACACATTCCATCACATTACCCACTATACAATCAAATCACACAGCCAAGCAAAAACCAAGAACCCAGAAAATTTTAATAGAAGGCATCCAAATCTATATCATGCACAATCCATATATTGAAAAATCAAAGGGATTTCAATGAAGATGTGTGGGTATTGGTATATCTATAATTCTCTACTGAATTAAACATTTTGATGTCAAAATATTTTAAAACAAACAGTCATAATAAATAAATAAATAAATAAATAAATAAATAAATAAATAAATAAATAAATAAGGATTGATGATACAAGAGAAAGCTATAAAGCTGCACACATAAGAAGCTGAGGGTAAACTTATGAACACTGTGGAAAACATGAAGTAATGAAGTGGTTTGACATGAAAAATAACATCCATGCTAGAGCATTACACTGCAGCCTTCCACAGCTGTATAACACCTTCAACAACTGTTACTACTCAAAATTAATTCCCATTAAATTAATCCTCTAAATAATCTTTGAAATGTTGCTGACGCTTATTGACCTGGACCCGAACTTCCACACACACACAGAAATGAAATATGTAAACCCCATCCTGACCTTAACAAAAAGTATTGAGACCTTAACAAAAACATTTAGCATCTTGAAATGACATACTTTCGCAAAACTAACACAAACATTCTTTCACAAGATGAAGATATTGTTCAAGATTGCTTTACAATAAATGTCCCTGAATTACTGATGAAATAATTATAAGAAACTTAAAACACAAAAGTCTGAAAAGAAGGTTTATTTGGGAACACCTCCTTTATAGGTGCTGTTTTATTAGGAAAAAAAAAAAAAAAAAAAAAAATATATATATATATATATATATATATATATATATATATATATATATATATATATATATATATATATATATATATATATATATATATAAAAACACAATGGCAATGATCATATATACTGTCTCTTCAGTATATAAAATTATTGTGCAAAGATATATAGAAAAATCCTAGAGCAAGTACTACCACTATCATGCCATTTATCTACATTGAAATAATACAATGATGACTCAGGGATGAGTCATTTAGGGAAAAGTAAAAAATATGCTGCTATTTGGAAAAATCTCATCCCTGATAACTATAAAAGTCAGTCTCAGTATCAAATGAAAGCAATATTTCAATGGCTATAGGTCACTAGTTGGTCATGCACTATTACAAAAGGGTACACTTATCACAAACTCATCATTTTGAGAACAAAAGTGGTCACTGCCCATTATAATTATAATGCACACCTATGTATCAAACAACGAGGCACATTCATCCTTTGGAGCACATGTAACATGCACGTGAATGCACCTTCATTCCATTTTATCCTGATATTCAAGGAAACAATGTGATGCATGGATGCTATATGTTATCACGAAATCCCTCCTATTTATTTGTACTTATCATGCAATGGTTGATGTGACTTATTAAGGAATTGATTAATGCCATTTAACTAGATCTGTTTTGATTTACTAAAGAAAAATATATGGACTTTTACTAAGATTGTTGAATATGAATTATTTGTTGGTGCTCAAAACTGTCTACAGCTGTGTTCACTGAAAGCTTTTTTTTTCATAGAGAATAGAAAACAAGATTATATTATCCTCAACATGCTCCTGGGGAAGGAAGAAAATATTTTACAATATTTGAAATATTTTAACAACAACAATTCATGAAACTTGCATTTCTGTTTTTGGCTAGTATAGAAAGCTTCCCACAAGCACCACCTTCACCAATACCAAAGAAGAGTAAATGAAATAACACGTTGACAACAACATGGTATCATGCAACAGTTTCTGGACAACACCTCCAATAATATACTGTATACCATCACTTAGACTGAAGCAACCATACTGTATAACCCAGAAGAACTATAAACTAGTCATGAAAAACCATATACCGTGTATGGCAATTCCTGCAAATATGACAGATCTGTGTTGTTCCTTATCTAATATTTCAAAGATTGCTTTGGGGAATTTTTTAAATCCTTGCATGTTGAGAAGCATAAGTATAAAAATCAAAGGGACAGTATGATAAGATCTCTTTGAAGGCCATTTGCTTGCATGCCTTTCTTACAAATATAGAAAATTAATTTCAACTTCCAAAACTTCCAGTCTTTCTGTGCAGGAATTACCTTACGTGGAAAGAAATTCACAATTATATAAGACAGGGCATCATGCGTAAATATGTTATTAGAACATAGTTACCCATTTGGACCAGTTTTCTAAATCGCGCATGAGGTCCAATAATCTGTGGCTGATCCACTATTGAACAAAAAAAATAAACAGGCAAGAATAGAATAATGCAAGAGAATGTTAATACAAGATGAGTTACAAGAGGCAGCAAGTCCACTGCTATATCTAGAGGTTGGTTGCATCTCTGCCAAACCACTGTAAGTAGTATTAGTACAGCATCAGTTCAGTTACAAACTGCAAGGTGTTATAACTAATCAAGCCCTAAGAAAAAGGTACAGCATCTCTATGTCTAGGTCCTAAGCAAAGATATTGACCAGTTTGTTCATAGCTGTCACCAGTTTAAGGTATTACAGAAAAGTCTGATCAACAGGAATCCCACCCTTGTATTAATGTAGACATTATAATAAGATGTAATTATCCAGTGAAATTACAACATAAGAGGGTTTTTTTTCACAGCAAGTTGGAAAAATAGCAGTTTGAACTTTCTAACCATAAATGTCTGCAGACAACTACACCAAAGTACTAAGAGAATGAATTGTGTATAAAATACTGATACATGAAAAGATTTAATAATGTTCAGCTCATTAATCATACTGCAAGTCAAATAAATTATTGTAGTACAAATTATGTAATTATTCTAAATGGTCAAAAATCAAAGATTCACACAATATTATATAGAATATGCATATCATTAACATCTTCCATAGTGCCGAACTTCAGTATAACAATAAATTAATTAGGTGAAATAGATCGACTTTTGTGTGAAGAATTTACAAACAGCAAATTGCTTGTAAAGAGACTAAAAACAGATTCACCTTTCATAAAATGTCATTCCTGATAATTAAAAACCATGTTTAATCTCTAAAAAAAAAACAATTTACTTTTTTATCAATACATTAATTATACTTGACACATTTTCAATAATAATGCCAAAGGACAGAGGTAAGATATAAGTAAAAAAAATAAAAGAAGAAGAATCTTAACCTCCAAAAGCTCTAAAAGCACAACATAAAGAGCAGAGCGGTAAGGGTTTTCTGCAAATATCTTCCTTGATGGCACACTATTAACATTTAATAGAGACATATACTCTTAGACACCAATCAAAACCTTTTCCTAAATTGACCATAATTAACACATTTCAAATCTTTTGATAGGAATTCTTCTGTCTTTTATGAATCCAAACCCCATATCCTCCATACTCACCCTGTCTGCCCTATTACTAATGAAATCAATAGAGAGAAGGATAACACCAATAGCATTTAGAGGATGATGCTTCAAAACTTAAAACTCTCCGAAATGGATGTGTTATATCTGCATAAAAACACCATTGGAAGTGAGGCATGCACCAGATCTTGAAAAACTGAACTAGAAAAGTGAATCTTTTTCCCTCCCACACAGCCATAATAACATGTACTGATTTAGGGAACACCCATCACTAAGCCTCTATTTCCAGAAAACAAAACATCCCATGCCAGCCTTGCAAAATATCTAAATATAAATATATATATGCAGCCACCGAAGAAGGCCAGCCAGTAGAAACTGCTGTAACATGCAGTGCATCCATTGCCATCCAGTTTTCAATAAACATGAACACCAGAAGCTACCCATAGTAAATGGCATGTCTAGCCCAGCTTATGATTAATGCTATTACACATCTTTACTCCAGTGCCATCACTGTCATGGCAGGACAACAGGGATGCTGTATACCCTAGGACATAAAAACAACACCTGCTACCTTTGGAAATAAAGAAATAGCTGCCACCTGCTCTTCTACATTCAAAGCTTGCTCTTTTGGTATGTATACTTACATGAAGGAACCTTCTTGAATACTTCTTGAGAGAAGAAATTTTGGAACCGTTGGCTATAGAAACTAGGTCTGGTCACAGATATTGTGTCCTGGGGGAAAAAAAAGATTGAAGAAATTATCAAATTTATTTATGTAATAAATTCATAAAAGATTATCAAAGAAATTTAGCAAATCAACAGGTAAATGTGTAACTCATACACTCATATCATTTAACAAACAGCTTGTGCTACATAAATCTCATTAGCTATTTTAAAACAGCATGCAATATCACTACCATTTAGACAATCTAACTCCTTTATACTCAGAGTAAAATCAACCTAGATGAACTGACAAGAATACAGGTAAGTGTGATGAAATCCCAAGTCACCTACCCCATCATGAACTATAGCCTTCATGGTGTGCTCTAATTTTTTCTTCAGCCTATAACTCTGGAGTATATCTATAATACCAATGTACAGGAGCAGGCGCTCTCCCTTCGAGTTGCGGGCAGGTATTCCGCCAGGACTGAAAAATAGTATTCAATTCATTATTTCACACAGTAAAACTTGTGTCAAGGCTTCCCAATCTTATACTATTTTCATTCAAGCAATTTAAGTCAGGAATGCAACACAAGGTCGCAGTGTCATTCATAACCAGTACCCAATCATGACCTGGCAATTGGCAAAAACAATGAGTATAATGAAGCTGAAAAAGCTTTAGAATTGATATGACAAAAGATGTAATTCAGAAAGAAGGGGAAGAAAGCAGGATGACCAAAACCAACTCTAGCATTAAACTCACGGTATATCTTCATTCTCCACTTCCACTGGTTCTGATTCTGCCTGAATAGATTCTAAAGCTGTGGAATACTGGGCAAGCTTCTGCTTCATAGATTTGCCACGGTTAAGCCCACCTGTAGGATTCCAACACATTTCATATATTTAAAACACTATACATAATTTAATTGCACTGTAAGAATACTTCCTTTAGAGCAACACGAAAACATGTATGCACTTGGGGAATTTCAAAAGTAATATGAAACAGGTTAAAAGTCATTTAAATTGAAATATGTAAATAAAAACCCAGCACATATAACAAACATTAAAGTTTAAAGTTATAATTTTTTTAATCTTTACTGTAAAGGTTAAAGAACTGTGTACTGTATATGTAATGTTCCCAAAGAAATTGAAAATAATTGTATTCATACCTCTAGCTCCTGATTCACCTTCAGACGTGTTAGAGGTCTGTCTGTTCATTTCAGGAGTTGGTGCAGCCTGAAAAACAGAAGTAATTATTTTAAAATCTATTTATTCATTTATTTAATCTAAATCCATAATAATAATAATATGTTTTGTAGACTTTACAAATAAAATACAAGTTTAAAAGGATTATTTTTAATTCAAAAGTTATGGTAAGCAAAGTAAAGAGAAAAATATCCAATTATAATGTTCCGTAGGGAATTAAATGCTTTATCAGAAATTTTTTCAAATGGATAAGTTTTTAGTGCTTTTTCAAATAATCTTCTTAACTTATATAAGGCCAAATAAAGAGGTAGAAAGCAAATTCATTGATTCATTAATGTGACTAAAAGAGAAAGCACCATCTAGATGGGCTAAGTGTGACTACTGTACCCTGTTGATCCTTTTCTGTTCCTCCTCCATCTCTCTGGTCCTCTGTGCCTGGTCTAAGTTGTGAATTCCCAGCAGTAAACTGTAGTCCATGATCTTAAAACTTTCTAACACCTGGGAAATCAAAGTATCTGGATCTGTAGGATTTTTCTGAAAGCCTCAAGCTTCATTCCTACATCATTATGTACAAAGTGTATTCACACATTCTGTATAGGCTTGCAAACTCATATCACTGTAAACCTTCACTATAATGCCTTTAAATAAAATTACATTAATGACATACAATCTACTTTTCATAACTTTGAAAACTAGCATTTGTCTCAATGCAGCACATAAGATACAGAACTAAGAAGAATCGTATTAAGATGTATATCTTCTAGCACATCTGTAAAGGGAGACAGATATAGTGATATGAACAAAGATATCACATTGCCATTGAACTGGCTTGGTAATTGTAACAGTAGTTGTAGTAGTAGCAGCATTAATAATAATAATAATAATAATAATAATAATAATAATAATAATAATAATAATAATAATAAACAGCCACATATGTACATGTTAAATAATATGCCCCCCTTACCCTGCAGTCCCTCTGTATAGTTTTGATTAATGCTGCGTAGGTGTCAGCTTCCAGTATGATTCCCTCAGCGTTAATATCCATAAAGTCCAAGTCCTTTAATGTAGGCCGTAATTTTTGCCTCTCTCGTTTTGAGGCTTTCCTTTTATATGTGCTTCCTTTCAAGTCATATTTCTCATGCATTGGAATTGAAGAAGGAATTAAATTGTTCATCACAACAAATCGAATATTTTTGCCTCCACACTGAAAAGCAAAATGCATCATGTCAGATATGAATGAATTTATAAATCATTTGATAAGGAATTCATTAACCATGACACAGAAATTTAGTGGCATAAAAAATGCAATTTTCCAATGATATGATCAAAGTGTACATGCCTGAAATGTTTTATGAGCTTTAATGAGCTTAGAATATTATAGAATATAAATCTATAATAAAAGATATAATTATCTTTTAAGTTTTCCTAATGCAACATTCCAACAACAACAACGAAATACATTTATATATTTATAAATAAATATATATATTTATATTGCCATTTCACCGCCTACTTAATTTCCTTTTTAAAAAAACATGAAATGGGGGAGTTAGTGCCTATTTCTTCAAATCATGCAATGATCTATAAAATTTAATCATTTTCAGTTACATTTTCTATGTCTGAACATACAAAAAAGCCGAAAAAACTGTAATTCTATTATTATTTGAATTTATGTCAAAGTAAGCCATTTGAATTGTTCTAATTATATATTTCTCATATAGTTATATTTTGCCTTTAATAAAAAATAAAGAAATAAACTAAAATCTTATTTAAGCCAAAATTAACCAAACATAGTCTGTATAAGAGGAAAATAGTCAATAGCTAAAACAGAATATCATTAGTTCAACCTAACAATACCTCAGCTTGCCTGCTTCTAAAATCCTTGATCTTTAAGTGAAACACACCCAACATTAAATGCCATTTGCCACCATTTTCTTACAGTTTAATTGTATTACTTCACAAATATCCTCCAGTGTTTAATTTCCAAGAATTTTATGCATTTTTCATCACCACCTAATACAGTGAACTTTGTAGAATAATATATTACCACTTATATGACTATGAAAATAATTACAAGTTTATGATTTCTAATAACAAATACAATCGATTTGATTTATTTTATCAATTTTATGGGTCTGCCAGAACAGAAAAAGCTCACCAATAACATTTCTTACCTGGTAATTGTATAATCCATAAAACTTTGGCAACAGGGTTCTAAGATTTTGGTTTAAATTCTGGAAGAAGAAATACATCATAGCTTGATGATAAATCCTGTAGTCAAGCATTTCAGTGATATGAGAGACTTCTCTTACTAGACCAAATTATACTGCCACCAATAAATGTCTTTAATACAAAGGAGACCAATGGGATTAAAGAATCCTCTAATGAATAGTTAAATACGGTAAAGTTAAAGTAAACATCTTAAGCATAACATATGCCTCCCTGTATGATCAGTACCTTAAATTGGAGAGGTAAATAACCAATACTTCAACATATGAGAGTTACTCTTATAAGGTTTTATTTTTTTCATTTCATTGAAACACCTCCTCCCATACATACCATGTAGTAACCAGGTAACAATTTCTGTAAAAATTCTGCCTCTTTATGTTGTACTGTTTTGATGATAAATTCATCATCATTGGTGATATAAAAAATACTGCCACTGGCACCAGGGTTAGAAAGCTCTTGGAGAGGCTCATTGCACAAAGACAGCTGAAATACACAATTTTTGACAATTTTAATATGACATGGATGGGAAAATAAAAAGAATAAGCTCAAATAATTTTATCTTACCATCTCAGCCATTATTTTAGCATCAACATACAGCTCTCATTCATGTTACATGTCCCTTTAGCTTCTTAATTATGACACCATCCTCTTCACAAATTAACAGCTGGGTACCGTAACTTTACGCCTTTCTTGTCATCATGTTCATATTTTGCCATTCTTTTGTTGTAACAAGATATTTACCAAGAAATCATCTGGCTGAATACCAAACAATTCTCTGAAATACCGGAAAGCCACTGGTGCATATGTCTTGAAGCGAAAATCACTATAATGATGAGCAGGAGTGAGATTGCTTCCTTCCCTGGAAAAGGAAAATATTGCAATCAGAACGTTACAGCGGTGAGATCCCTCCTTTGCCTGAAAACGGTCCAAATCTGGACAGGGATCCTTAAAACCACACAAAGAGGATTCTTAAATACCTAATTTTTCACAACATAATTGAATTAGTAGTTTAGATTGTAGTAAAATCCAATTCAATAAAACTTTGTATAAAAAGACATTCAGGCTCATGCTGAAATTGATATTCCTTTCTAAGCAACTAATCAAACACTGTTGGAGGAAAAAAGAGATCATTTTGGTCAAAATTCCTAAAAGTAAATGGTTCAGAATAAACTAGATACACAATCTAATCTATTAGACTGTATACAAGAAATTAAACAAAACAAAACAAAAAACAAAACAAAACAGGGCCTACCCTGGAAAGAAAACACTTTCCACTACTTGGAAATCCTGCATGAGAACATCACGTTCTGGTTTGGAAGAAAGTCCACCTATGCTCTGACCAATGCCCAGCTGAATGGCAGCCATAAGCTCTGACGTGGGTTTCTAGAATTTAAAAAGTTTTGATATCAATAAATAATAATAATCAAATATGAAATATGTACTTCAGGTACTATAATATTCTAAAATTGCCATTAGTGACAGATTATCCCGAAAGCATTAATTTTACCCATAAATCATTCTCTAACAACAATTATTAAACACATAAAATGCAACTCTAATATTGTGTAACTTCCTCTATAGTCTTAAATGTGCTTTAGGGTTTATGTACAGTTAAAAAATATTACCATATTTGGTAACAAATACAGAAATACATAAAAAGTACACTCTGCACTTAATGGTAATGACAATGAGATCCTTTATGACAATGACACAAATAGTTTTTTTTTCTTTTTCTTTTTGGAATACAGAAATTGCATGTGAAATCTTGTTTCGGGGAAATAAGGTTCATGGGAGGCATTCGAAAAACCTTACAGATCAATTGATTTTACATCATACTAATGAGGATGCAAGCTTGGTGTCATGCTTACCAGAACTATACATGTAGCTTGTGTTCAATATTTGCTATATACTTGCGATCATGCGATCACTGGCATACATAGAATATACTACTTATGTCACAATAAGTTAAAGATGCTCTGCTTTTTATACATTTTCCATTCTTGTACTTTGCTTTAATGGTACATATGCTTTTCAATGAGCATATCAGAGCTACAGTGACAACTGTTTATGATACAAGCTCATATTCAGTTAAATCTTGTGGACCATAAGCTTGGGTGTGCAGGTGCCACCTTATAGTTCATACAGATTATCTTATGATGTCCAATCAATACCTGCAACAATACCTAGGCACCAAGGTATCAATTAAAAATAATAAATAATAAAAATTCTAGCAATGTTGAGTATGGAATAACATCATAAATGGATTTAATTACTGTATACTCCTGAATTTTAGAAAAATAAAAATCCCCAGACCATGAGTAACTCAAGTAAAAATCCTGAAATGTGGATTATACTTCCTAAAGATTTGACTAAGAAATACTGAACATTGAATGGATTTTCAATTCAGAAAAAAAATTTGTGTGAAGTAACTGGTTATTATTCTTAAATGATTGGTATTAAGAAAGGTGGTTAAAACTGCCAGGTTATCACTGTCTCCAACTTACAGGCAGGCCATGATACCAGGACCGTGGTTTCATCTGCAGCATAAGCCACTTGTATGCCATTGGAAGAGATTCTGAGCCAAATCTCCACACGTCCCACTTCTTACCATTATTATACATGTACAGATTAATGGTGTCCACATCAATCTTGTATCTGTCTAACTCTACGTGACTGAACCTTCTCTGTCTCAACCTTACAGGCGATGACTTGGACCAACCAATGTTTTCTATTCCACTAAACCCACGCTTTAAGTTGGAATATATCTTAGCTTTGTTGACAAATGAATAATCTCTTCTTTTCGATCCATAGGTAAAAGAATTGGCTCTAGCTTTATGAAATTCTTGATCTAATTCATGCTTTAGGACACTGCCAGTTGGGAGGGACCCAAACACGAAGTCGTACATCTCTTCGTCACACTGGTCACTGATGGTATCTGTGGACAGAGAATCTCCTTCTGGCTCAGTCCCAGGTTCACATTCATTCCCAGTTTCAAAATAATTATTTTCCAGCATGCAATCCTCCTCCACATCTCCAGCCTCGCTTCCCGAGACACTGCTCGGAAAGTATCCCTGGTTATGACAAGAGGGGCAGAGCAGATCACAGCATAGTGACTGCATAGACCCAGAGTTTGCCAATGCCGATCGTTGCACCTGCTCTCCAATCCATGAACAACCTATTCTTTTTGTGAAAGTTTCTTCTTGTTTGGGTAACAAAAAATTGCTATCTAGATTAAAATGTCTAATTTCATTACACTCATCACCAGTCTTAGCAATCACAATTTTGCACTCCTGTTGAACGTCAGTGTTATAATTTTGTACTCCATAAGCCTCATTACATATATCAGAGCCCCCCTGGCTAGGGTCCACAAGACTGTGTACACTACTCTCAAGTGTAGCAACACTTTTTGTCTGGTCCATGTTTCTGTGCCAAGTATCAGCACGGGCGAGATTCACTTCGCGGTCTAGTGACCTTGTCTGGGTCCAAGTATCCAGTTTATCGTAGATATGTTCCGAGAAATCCTGTTCACTGTTTAGATCCCCACTACTGGAGTCTGTGCAGAATGTATCATAGAAATCGTAAATGTTCTCTGCGCCAATTAAAGTCCCTCCTCTCATTGAGAATCCGAAACGATGCATTTTATGTTTGAAAAGGCCAAAATGAATTTTTTGTCTACCTTGAGGGAACTTTAGATACAGCCTGGTTTTACAAAGAGCAATGAGCTTCCACATCCAACACCATTCATCAAATCAGAAATAAAAACTCTTCATAGCTGCATACATAAAATTTGTTCATATTTTAACTGATATCAAATCTTCACAATTATTCATAATTCCATCTTGTTCTAGTTTCAGTAAAACCCCTTTTCTTCTCGAAGCTTCTCTTTATCCTGCCAATGCCATCAAAACATCCTTGTCACCCTGTAGATGTACAGACCTCAGATGTTTCATACACAATACACATTATGACAGTCTTCATCTGTAAAACATCGCCATGGCAACAGAACTTGTACAATTACATCACTATGTAGGATATCATATGCCACTGTCAGGAACAAGGAGAAATATCAATGTCATCTTTTCACTTTTTTTTCAAGAAAAAAAAAAAAACCTCCAAAGTCATGATGACGTATAATACTTTGAGGTTAATTAATTGCTCCACAGTTGGAAATGTTTTCCAATACAGACTAACAAATTCACATGCAAATGTCTGATAACACAGAGACATTGGTTAACCAACTGCTGGGTTTCATAATCAATAAAATACAGCTCTGAATGAATATTTTTCTTTTCAACTAATTAATTCCTAACTACATTTCAAGTATTTGCATTCATTTTCTCAAAAAAAATTAAGTCTTGCCCACCTCTTGCACTTTTCTGTTCAGCTATCAGGGAAACTGTTTTTAACTTTAAATAAAGCATAAAAATTCATAATATTTGGCCCATCCTTCTGGAGACATTTCAAACATTAGGGTAACAATGATCTAATCCAAAATGACAAGACTCCAAATACATTATGTATATTTTAAGTTTATTTTCCCCTATGTTATTTCATACCTGCATTAAGATCCGGGACACTCTTATCACTCATGACAATTAAACTACAGTATATGAAAGAATGGGAGGGCCAGATAGTATTTTCTGTCTTTTTTGATATGTTGGAATCATATATTTAATTCAGGTGAAGATATTTAAACATTCTTGACAATTATGGCATGATTCACTTGAGCTTTTATTTTTTTCATTTTGTTTACCTGTGAACATTTAACAAGTACATAATGTAGGTTTATCAGCACCATTTGCAACAATGCATTGGGTGGTCAAATAAGCAAAGTCAATAATTTCATATTACCTTCTTGTATGTGACTTGTCCAGCTTCATCCACCCTCCTGTGACCAATCTTCTTTTCTCTCTCTGTCCGTGGAGTGAGCATGTTGGTGGGGGTGGGGGTCTTAGACTGCCCATGGCTAGGCCCTGCAGCTGACACCTACAATGGACATTTACTATCAAGTCAGAGGTGGCAAAATATGTGAGTGCATATGTAGTCTGTTGGCATGAGCAAGCATGTGTGAGCATGCACCTGTGTATTGACCAGCAGGAAGGCTCCCAGTGGTTACCAATTTATACCAATATTGACATAAAATTATAGTCTAAAAGGGAACATTAATTTTAACAGAAAACAACAAGAAACTCAAATATCAGACAGAGTTCTACACAAAATAGTCTCTTATAACATTATAAAGACTTTTTAAATTAAAAAGGAATTCAGCTCTTGTTTTTATCCAAATAAGAAATAGATATCCACTTAGATCAATTCCTTCTCTTGTATTGTCATCAATCAGTTTCCTTGCAAAGAAGAACAAGTGGACAATGCCCATGGAAAACTGATAACAAAAGCAGGTGGTCATCAAACTGGACAATGGTTAAAGATTATATATCTTCAGTAATTTTGGAATCCTAATGACACTGTCAAGTCTAGCCAATACTTCACATATCACTACGTGAGTATTTTTTATTTGAAAACTGAACATGTCATTTGCTTTTCTCTATCTTTCAGCAGATTTCTTTCACGTCACAATATAAAGACTTGCTAAAAAGCTGTCAATATATAATAGATGTGGAAATAACTCCTCACCTTGCTATATAGATTGTCAATAACAATTCAGTGACAAGAAACCCCAACATTTTTGCAAGTCATTGTTGGTCAATAAATGTTTTACCCAATATAACTTGACTTTTTTGTAGATCATTACCATGCACCTTGTAGAGAATGGAAGTTTGCAACAATGAACAGTCTATAGCAAGGTATCAATATGAATCAAGTACTCATGTTGTACATAATATATCACTCACACTGTTAAATATAGAGAATGCATGTAGCTTGTCCAACATGCATGGCTGACCAGGAAAAACACAAACATGGTGCCCATTACACCATGGACAGTGGAGATGGGGAGGGGGGGGACAGGGGCAGCAGGCAACCTGTGACCATAGGTGCCTGGTCATTTTTCTCATATATTTTTTTTGACTACAGCACAACAGGTACATTTATCATTACTGTACTATATCCGTGTACGTTCAATAGCATTAACATTCCATCTATATTTATGAAAGACATAAACATGCTAATTAAGAAGGATGCCATTTTAACATACATAATTCTTTGAAAAAAAAAGATGCTGCACATACTTAGAAATGGGAACTGTATATTACTCAAGTATGTAAACATTTAAAATCATAGTCAAAGCATACAACAATTTCTGATCTACTTTCATCAAACAAATCTAAATGTCTGGAACTTACATCAATGGGGGGTGGTCTGTACTTGGTTCCTTTTGATTCTCTGCCTGTAAAGAAAACAAAAGCAAAAAATGCAATTGTTATAACTTTGGATATATTAACAAAAACAAAAGATAGCTATTGAAAACAATAACATTTTACATGATCCCTTCAAATTCTAAATACTAAGTTTTCTGAGGCCTGCTGAATTAAATAATTTTTGAGAAATAAAATCTAATTCGGTGTTTGAAAAAAAATGAATATAATGGAGCTTTAATGTGGGATTGCTGCCTCAATTTTGGGTCTCCTTAAATCATTAGCATGAAAAAAACATGATCTTAGCGACTTGAAAATAAACCACCACTTTTCACAGTCTGAACCAAAAATGACCTTCAAAATCTAGTGGGCACTACACTCCAGGCAACTTTGAAGTTATGTTGCCCAGCAACCTGTTACTGCTGTCAGCTGCCACCTGTGCCTCACACATTATGTGCTCAAATTTACCTGGAAAACTGAGAATTTTCCAACAAATTCTAGAAAGATTTACTGGACACTTGAAAAACAACTTAGTGCCATGTAAAGTTGTGACAAATTTGATGGGGGATGAACTTGCTTACAACAGTTTGTCAAACATACTTGTCTAGGATTTTTTGTTTATATAAAAGAAATTAATAGTTATAATTCTAAACCTGAATCTTGTCATATAAATTAACTTACCATTAGGCAAAAAACTCACACCTGTGTCTTTCTAAAAAGCTTGCAGAGACAGAGCAAATCATAATGTAAACTAGTTCTCAAGCTTTTAATCTTACAAAATACTACTACCTATTCACTTTCTGATCCAGGGAAGAAAAAACAAGCTTATATGCAAGACATTCTTGATTTGGTTTTCGATTCAGGAAATAAACAACATGTTTCAAAATGCTTTTCAGATGGTTGTCACACACAAACTAATTTAAATACCAGAAAGGTAGCATAAAATATATATGGTCACTTAAACCAAGAGAAAACCCAATTATCAATTTTGGACTCTGTGAATATGCAATAACACAGAGAAGCAAGCAAGATGCAAGTACTATCGCCATGTTATCGATTCCAATAGCTTAAGGATTCCTATTAATAAGAGGAACTTCCTCTCAGTATGCTTGGTCAAGTTTGACCAGTGTATGTGTGGTATATTGTGTAATTCATCACTTAGTAGGCTGACTGGTCAGTCCATTCAATATCATATGACATGACTGCAGAGACTGTATCACAGGACATTGCATGAGCAGCCAGCTGCCATACATGAAAACACTGGGTGTCTGAACTTTGGATGCACTCTTCATGCATATCTATAGCAACAGCATTATCACCATGATATATATATATTTTTTATTAATCATCTGTTTATTTTTAATAAACACTTTTTCCTAGTATTCTCTGAAGTCATCTTGTGAAATTCATATATATATGCTTTTTCATAAGAATAAAACAAAAGAAAAGGTCTGGACAAAATGGTAAGCATTCAATATGCTATATTCATTTCAGTCTGAAAATTTATAAGGAAATACATAGTTCACTTATTACATTCATAATTAGTTGATTTTAAACTAATAAATTTGTGTTGTTTTACGCATTTACAATATATATCATATACATAGTAACAGCTGGTATTCTACTCCACACCTACTGATAACCTTTCCCATTGCATAAACATCCGTGAATCACACATCAACTATTGACTGCAATCCTACATTTATTTGCTAACTAACCACCACGGAATTTATATGTTACAAGGAAAACTTAGCCTTCTCTTTATTCAGGAACATAACTTATGCAATTTATCTAATGGAAGTTTACCTCATAAGTTTGGGATATACGGGTCTGCATGATATATAAGTCATTGTCGCAGCTAGCTTTGGAATTAATATTACTTAGGGAAATGAAAGTATAGCCCATAAATTTAAATAAAAACAAAGTCCATTTTAATATTTGTTTATGACTGCCTATAAAGAACTACTACAGGGCAAGGGTGTGAGCCAGAAAACAGGACATATATATTTCATCTTCATGACTGGTCAGGGAGGTTACCAGAGTATATTAATTATTTCATAGTTCACCATGGTTCACTACTAATAAGTTAATTATTTTATTACAAACCAGGCAGTAGGCAACACTAGTTTTTATTTTCCATTTCATTATGTTAGCACCCCTCTCCTATGTTTATGTTTTCTGTTGCATTAATATTTATTTGCTTTAATATTGTTTACAGTTTGTGTTTAAGTCAAGAACAACTAAGGACCCATTAAGATAATAGTACCTGTATGAAACTGTGTTATTGACAACAAAACTAATCATAGAGAGCAGGAAGAGATATCTGAATTGACAAAACCTGGTGCAAATATAATAATAAGCGATCAAATCTTATCAAAATCTGCTTCAAGTGGCAGCTCAAGTCACTGGCTCTTCAGTAGCTGAATTCAGTATGAAGTTAAATCTGAAGCACTAGAAGTTCTAGCTTATTGGCACTTATTCTGCTCAGACTCAAACACAACAGCGTACAAACATGAATGTAAGTAGGAACTAGTATGATTACTTGAGCAAGACATAATGTACACATCATTCATGTTTATGTAAAAGTATGGGCACATCAATGCCTATGTCATCAAGGCAAATGGTTAATCTAAAACATCCCTTGACTATATTGGTCTTGGGCACTACATGTGCTCTATATGGGTAAATAAATTAATCCTTCAAACACAACAGGAAGGTTAAGCGACTCTGTGTCTCTCTGTAGCCCACCTGCTGGTTCAAAGTCTCTCTCATATTAACCTGAAATGCTGCTGTGCAGTTGTTATGGATTCTATCCTCTGCCAGTGTGGTGTATATTATTTAATGCTCGCCATGATTTTTTTTAAAATTTAGTCTTGACTACTTCACAGTGCTAATATAGGACTAAAAAATTTCACTTCCAAGTTCCATAATAAGGAATGAAGACAACGGCTAATTATAACTTCCTGCCAAAGTAATCGGTCTACTACAGAGATCCATAAAATGTTACTTATAATTGAAGACAAAATCAGACAAACTTGGTATTACCAAGAAACTAAACAACAAAATCAAAAAAGTCTTAAAAGCTACTCAGAACCAACCTACCATCATCGAAATTTTTCGTTGGGGCAGGCATCACGGACACGGCCCCAGCCGCGCCTGCAGCTGCCGCTGCCATCTTTAAATGCACGAACTCTTCTCTCTCGTTCTATTGGCCTTCTTTGTTATAATCATATGCAGTGCTATGTCACATTTCAGTTTCCAGGGTGCATCGAGCTAACACATAGAAACTGCGAGGAGGAAAGTTTCGCAAGGTTTGTCACAGGGTTCGTCCTAAGTCGGCCATTCTTTTCAGGCATGCGCAAAAGGAAGTAAAGAGTGGCTTTTTAACACAGGGGTAAAGTTTATTTCGAAAACCAATAGTGTCATTTTTCATTTTTTGCATAAGTCATTATTGATATAATTTTTTGATGATAAACTTGAAAAAAAATCAAAAGATATGGAGAGTTGATAAATAAATGCATACATACAATCCCCAAACTTCTGTAAGATATTTTTGTACCCTGTGGAAAGTAACCTAACAACAAAAGATGGCGAGCGATGCTTTGACTTAGCAAAAATGTGATGGTTGAAAATTTGGTAAGATATCGATTAGGAATAGCTCATATTTTGTTAATTACAACCATTTGGACTTATATTATATTATATTATAGTATTTTGGTTTACATTTTTACGGATTAGTTGCGCAGGCCATTGCTGATAACAAGGAATTATCTTCCCTTTCAAACGCCAGTTCTTGTTCCAGTACATGTACCAGAAAGTAAGCCCTGCTCTTACAAGATAAGAAATAACACATTACAGAGTGAGAATTACTTGTAAAGTAACATTTTCATTATTGAAGAGGGGTATATCTTTATTAAAGATTGAATGTATATTAAGTAACTTGTTTGTGGCTGTATATAGAAGGAGCCAAAATCTATTTGCATGTGAATTTATACTGGTGGTAATATAAGAGCCAGAAAGTTGTAAGAGCTTTTTGGAGTATGTTTTATCAAGGATTTATAACTCCTTGGTTTTATAACCCGAACTGCCCATGTTGGTATCTTTGTCCTGCCAAAATATTGGTAAAATTCAGATGTGTATTCTGACAAATGAAATGAAATTATGTTAAAAATATTTTCAAAGGGATACCAAATTAATCATTTAAGTTAAAAACACAGATTTAAGTGATACTGCTGATAGTATGATAACTTAGATGGAATAATTTTGATGAAAAGTTTTCAGTGTGGTACCAATTTGCCTGACATAGTAAATATTGCTTTGGAAAATTCCTTGATGCATTCAGTATACTTTTAAGTATAATTTTTCCATGCCACACCCTCATTTAAAAAAAAAAAAATTATACTGTCTACTTATAGTTATTTATAAATTCCTTTATATTATTCATAGGTGTATCCTGTATACATTTGAAAATGCTCCACAGAAACATATTAGAAACATACTAGTACCTAATATTGCTATTACAATCAGCATGCAACGTGGTAACTGTCACATCTCTCTACTTCATGCGAGAAGAAAAACCATCTATTTCATACACAGTACAAGAAAAAAAACTAAAAAAACACTGTCTTTTTCTTGTGTTGTCAAGTGAGAATGATGCCATGCCCAGAAAGTGTCTTGTGAATGTCAGGAAGGCATATGTAATTCTTAATGACTGGCCAGTCATTAAACCTAAATTATTCAATTAATAATGCAATAAAACATCAAATCTATGCAAGGACAGGTAAAGCAATCATTCATGAGTAGGAGAATTTTGTTTTCTTATAAAAATTAATTTTGGAAGAAAAGCTCATATTAATTCACTTTTAAATATGTTTTTGAAAAAACCCTTCTCTGAACAAACTCAAAATTTGCTGCTTTTCATTCTTGTTAATCACAAGATGTGCCTATTTATGCAGACATGCAACAGTATACCTTTCTTCACATGATACGCACTTCAAGGCATCTCAGCCCACATTGTACATATTGAATGTATCTATGGTTATAATTTTTTTCAGAGAAATGCAAGAAATTAAGTAAAAAGCTGGGAAAATGTGAAAATTACACTTGATCTGACACTGGTCTCATACCAGCATGTTGGAATCATACAAAATTATGTAAACCTGCTTTTTTTTCTTAAAATACATTTCTGAATAATGAATAACCATATTTTTTTAGGTTATATAGGGATTAACAGGAAGAAAAAACATGGGTTGTGGAAGCAGTGTACAGACTCAGCAACCAAATACAGGGCCTGCTCTTGCAGAACCAACATTTGAACCAAACAAAAATATTGGGAAAAAAGATGAAAGTTTCACAGAAACAACAGAAAATGACAATCTGAACCATTGTGATAAAACTGTGTCAGGTGCAAAGAATGAAGATGATACTCAAATAATAAGTCAAAACACAAAATCAGAAGAAAAAGAAACAACTGTTTTGGCTCAAATGCCTGTAGATAAAACAAACTCTGAGTCAGATCAAATACAAAATCAGGATACCACGGGAATTCATGATGAAGACTACACTGGCAAAACTGATTCTAATACACTAGAAGCTATTTCAACAGAAGCGGGACATGAAGAACAAAAGACAAGAGAAGAAATTGGAATGGCCAGTTTGCAAGGTAAAGAAACAAAACATAGTATATCTGGACCAGATCTTTTATATAGAAACCCAGTTCTGGTACCAGAACCCAATACCAACACTTCTGATATCCCTGAAAAACATGATGGTGATCATTTTGAAAGTTGGCCTGAAATGTCAACCACAGCTAAAAAGGAAATCAAGGGACATTTAGAGGACACAGAGAGTGACAGTGACCAATTAGACCATGGGACTATTATCACACTGAATGATGGCAATGATACACCAGTGTTGTCAAGAAGCTCATCGGGTCTCACTTCTGTCACTGACACTGACATGGCTTCAAATATTGGCACAGGTCCTCCAAGGAATTCTCTCTCTGGGACAAGTTCTCCTGTGTCAATTAGCTCTTCATCTTCTGACGAGTTAAAAACAAATATTGAACATAAGATAAATTCCGCTGTAGAATTTTCTAGTGTTGAGAAAAATCTCCATGCTCGAGGCATAGAAGATCTTGAAACAAATGAACAAAAGTTTCTGTTGCAACCACAGCAAGATGATGCCAGAGCTGATGGTCATGAAAATGGTGGTGAAATGGTATTGGATAAAAATAAAGCTCAAAATACACCTGTTTTCACAGCTGATACTTTGCATAATGAAATTGTAAACCCGTCTGCAAAAGAAGCTCAATTAATAGAATATGCTATGACCAAGCAAGATGAAAAAATTGATGCTTCAACAACTGCAGCACCCCATTGCTTGGAACCTAATGAGGGGAATATTTGTAGTGGTAATGACAATGTGCTCTACTCTCAGAATGGAGATTCTTCTTTGCCTGAACAAGAGGTAGCCTTGTATGAGAAAGCGGGACAACAGGAGAATGTGGTTCTTGACCATAGCATGTTAGAGACAGAAAGGCAGGGTCAAGCCGGCAGTGTCAGGGGGGAAGATTTGGCAATATGCGAAGTAGGTAACCAGGGGACAGTTGAAGATGTGGGAGCTGAATCAGGTGCTGCTGTTGTTGAAGCGGCCAGGGACCCAGACCTCCAGTGTGCATCTCCTGACAGCGGCTTGCATGGATCAATATCAAACTTCAGCAGGGAGAACACTGAGGAAAACACTGCAGTCATTCCTGAAAGTAAAATAGAAATCACCAGACAAGAGGTGAATGCAGGACAGAGGACGGATCTTGATGTAGACACCAAGATGACACCAGACAATGAACAGATACAGTCTCCATTAGAGGCGTATGCTAATAATGCTAATGAGGAGTTAAAGCATGAAGAAAGACATGGGAATGTGAATGAAGAAAATACAAAAGAAATCAATCCCTCAGGGCCTACTGAATTCAGTTCAAGTGAGGCTCTTTTCTTCATCTATCTGCAGTCACCTATAGATTACTTATATTGTGTGCTGTAGTCTCTATTTTCTCTTCCATTCTGTTGTTAGGCATGGTGAGTGCCTTTGAATCACTGAACTATCTCAGCTTTCTTAAATTTTTCTAGGTGCCGTTATACCAATGTTTCCCATTATAACTAGTGACACAGCATGGGTGTCATAAGCATATTTTACATTCCTGTATTGTCTTTTTCCTTTTGCATTACTCACTGAGTGCACATATTTCTGTTTTACCCACTAGCACACATGTTTGAGCATGCAAATTGTCATTTGATATTAGTTATAAATTAATTTTTGTTACTTCTAGGGGACATAAAATGAAATTAACTTTTTGTTAATAATATATTGTCCCATAATTTCTGCCATATAGTTTTTTATAAAATGATACGAAAAATAAGAAATCCTATTTTATTTGGAAAAAAAATGGATATTCGATACAAAGATAAGAATTTGTGTATGTATTTTAATATTTTTCTCTGATTTTTTTCAGGCACAGTGACTTCAGCAGCAGAAGAATCCAAGAAAGACATGCCTAAGGACAACATGGCCCACAGATTGTACTAAAAATAGTAGTACTGAGGAATCTGGCAACAGCATTGGACAAACTGACCAAGAGCAATTTGATGTTGCACTTCGATTTGCCTGCAGTCTCATCAAACCTGATTGTATTTTTAGCCTGGCTACCAGTAATGTGAGGAAGCTGACTTTGCCAAGGGCGCCTCCTCCTGGGCTAAATCTGTCAAAATTGGTAACCTGTTTAACACACACTCAGGTTTGTCCAGTGATTATTGATATATTGATAACTATATTGTCTGATTTTCTTATCCAGTCACTGAACAATAAATTGATTTTCAGTCTGATAGAGGAAAATTAATTTTGTAAGAAGTAGTATCATGAAAGAAGAAATTTATTGATTGAGACAAAATATGTACATATATATATTTACACTGTACGTGACATTTATTTAGATGCTTTGTGCATGATTCATTGAGTTGAAAGTGGTCTTTTATAGCTTTATTGTATTGATTCTTTTCACCATTTAGGAAATAGATCTCTCAGGAAACAATCTAGGACCACAGGGATTCAGGGCAGTTATACTGTCTTTATGTCAGAATACCACCATTACCAGCCTCAACATTGCTAATAACATGACAGACACAGATTGTGCTGTAAGTCAGTGTAAAGTCCAGAATAATTATATCGAATTAAAAATATATTAGTGGAAATCTCATGCTAACAAGTTCATATTAAAATGAAGCATATACTGTAATTGGTATTAATATGTTTCCCAGAAGAGTCAAAGAAAATGTCAAGACAAATTATATAAAAGTGAGATTTGTTGTGTGCATGCACAGTAACTGTGTATGACATTGTGTAAGTATATGCAATTATCCGTTAATTGGTATGTTATAAAAGTGATAAAACCAATTTGAAAATATTTACCATGAATGTATAAAAAATATAACCAGATCAAATAATGCAGAACATTTTCCTTGTTGTACAGGTTTCTGTTGGAAAATTACTTGAGAGCAATGCTAGTCTGATAACTCTGGATTTATCTGGAAATCATCTTGGAAAAGACTTTTTCTCTAGGTGTGCAGGTCCAGCAATGAAAACTAATACATCATTGAGGTCTCTGAAGTAAGTCATTCCTCATTTAACATTACTTTCCTTTATATTTACCTGTCTGCATCATTACCCAGGGTTTTCCTGTTAGATTTGATTTACAGTATGTGGGGTTTTTTTTTGGTGATGTTAATAAATGATACATGAATGATATTCAAGTACTAGTAAGTGGACTTACACTAGTTTTTATTTTATTTTTTTATTTTTTAATTTTTTTTTATGCAGCCTTCATTGTATGTCAGTAAATATGTATTCTCTCATACACATGTAGAGTTACACCTTTTAATTTTTTATCTTTTATTTTTAAGGTGCCAAAGTATTGGAGCAACTGATTTAACAGTATTTTTTGAGAATGTTCTAAACAACTCGACCTTAGAGGACATAGACTTCAGTCACAACGAAATGACCAATGGTATGGCAGTCAGTCAACTGTTAGGAGACTGGATTAAGGTTTGTTTCAGAATAAGATCATGATCTTGTGGATATGTTACTGTATGGCTTTTTTTCCCCGTCATTATGTATATCTTTTGACATCTGTTAAAAAAAGAATGAATGCAAAGTGACATGATATAGCACCTACTAATGTTATTTCAAAAGATGAAAACCTGAATAATTTACCACCCTTGTATGATTATTTTATTTATTTACATTTAAATATACAAAACATGGGTTATCCTTATTGCTGTTAATATAGGGATCCAGCTGCAAGCTAAGAAGCCTTCAGCTGCGAAACTTTGGGTTGAAGGGGGATGCAATGAAGCCGCTGATGCAGGCTGTGGCAGCTAACTCTAGTTTAGAGGAACTCAATGTGGGGATGAATGAGGTAGAGTAGACACACCTGATGGATTATTTATGTGAAATACTTATATACATAGTGCTCATTAATTTTATTAGGATTTGTATCATGAAAGAAGAAACATATCGATTAAGACAAAAAAATATGTACACACACACACACACACACACACACACACACACACACACACACACACACACACACACACACACACACACACACACACACACACACAGTACGTGACATTTATTTAGATACTTTGTGCATGATTCATCAAGTTGGACAAAAAGACCAAAGAACTATTGCAAGCTTCTAGATGCCTGTAGTTGTGGCATGTTGTGAAAAAAATACATATGGCTGTGATATGACTGGGATAGAATACATGTACGTTAAAATGATAATGAAAAAAATAAAAAAAATAATTATTCAAATCCCACTTTATTTCAGTTTACGTCGTCAACAGATTTCATGGAGAGTCTGTGCATTTGTGTGAACCACAAGAAGTTAACCAGACTGGTATTGGATGACTGTAAATCAGTGACAGTAGAAGAATGGACAGCAGGTAAATTAGAAAACTGGGTGTTGTGTATGCACTGCTTGTTACATTATAATTAAACTATGTACATTTTACTACAGTAGCTATAACAAATACTTAATTTATGTATTGATTGTAGCTTTCATCATTTTAACAATTGTTGTCACTTTCCACTTTTTCTGTATGTTATCCATTTTTAATGGAATGTTACCATTTTAGCTGAAACACCTTCTCCCATAGAAGCCAGCCCTCTGTCAGTCCTCAGTCTCTCTAACTGTAGTTTGAATGACCAGCTTCTGTCCAGCTTAGCATCAGCTTACTCTGGAAGACTTGTACATCTCAGGGATGTCTCCCTCAACAGCAATGCCAGTATTACTGAGAAAGCACTTCAATACGTGGAAGATCTTTCAACTGGTGAGTTTAAGTTTCAGATTGCTGTTGTAAGGACTAAGTTGAACTCATTTATTTATGAGTATGAAATTTGAACCTTTGAGGCATAATGCTGAAATATATAATGTTTTAAGCACTGGAAGTAATTATTATTAAGGGAGACAAGGAATTTCAAATGATTCATTAGCCTACAGTTTTATTTTTATTAAAAAACTATTAATAGCACTGAACCATGTGCATCTTGAATTATTATTTATAGATTACTAAATTAAATGAAATCCCGAGTGAATTTTAAACAAAATTTCATGATTTTTCTACACTTTTGAAAACAAGCATAATACATTTAGCTTTTCTATCTTTTATTAATATTTTCCAAATTTACTCCTTTGTTATTTATGTAGAGAAAGATTCCACAGGCAGCAGCTTGGAACGTCTGTCAGTTGGAATGAACAATATGGAAAACCTCCCAGCATTCCTCTGTAGTACAGTACGTCTGCCAAAACTGAAGTATCTGAATCTCAGGAAGGCCACTATGAGCCCTGCAGCTGTTGGAAAGCTGGCACCTGTCCTCACCAGTGGCAGAATCTCAACTCTTGTGATTGATGGCATAAAACTCTCAAAAAGTAATGCATTAAGTGAGATATTAAGTAAGTGGTCCATCCCTTGTTTAAGTTAACGGTCATGCCATGTTAATCATCACAACTTTTTGTTGCTGAAAGCACACCTCTTCAGTTTTAGTATGTAACTTTTCTCATCAAGATTTGTTCCCAAAGACTGCTAAATTAAAAGATAATATCTTTGTTATTTAATTTAAAAATGTGATTTAATTCATTAGTTGTGCAGGTTGTTTCAAATAATTAAGTTCCTTGTGTTCACTAGGTTTGTCGTTAATTTACAAACAGACCTACCTACAGATGCAGAAAATGATGATCCTTATTTTTCCTCAGGTGCAGGCCCAAGCAGTAGTTTGAATGCTCTCAGTCTGAGTAGTTGTGCCATAGATGATGAGGATCTGAAGCCTCTCTGCAGTGCTGTGAGGGATGGTCTTCCTCTGCACATGCTCAAGTTGTCTAACAACAGGTTCTCTGATGCATTTGTGGAGGACATGGTGGGTGCTTTGGTGTCGCAGACAACTCATCCACTGGCACTCATTGATGCCTCTGTTAATCAGGTAAAAAGCATGAGATGATGGGTGTTGTTTGAAATGGGTTTGTGGTAAGACTAATGTTTATTGGGATGATTTGTAGCATGTTTTGCTGGAATATTGTGTTAATTAATTTGTGAATGCTGTAGTAAATTGGAAAATAAGAAAATTGCTTTGTTAGATCAGATTGATGGTATATTTGAGACATGAAAAGGTTCAAGCATAATTCATGTCAAGCATGTACATGTATTTGTAATTAATTGAAAGACAGTAAATTGTAAATGTGTCAATGAGGTGATTTTATAATCCTTTAGGGTTTTCTTTTTCACTTTATGTTTACAGATCAGTTCAGCTGGAGCAATGAAGTTGTGTGAACTTTTCACCTCAAGTTCACACCAGACAAATATCCACTCACTCAACCTAAGCAACAATAACATAGGTGTGCATACTATTTGGGGTGTTACAAAATTTTTAACTTAAACTTTAAACTTGACTTTAAAGATTGTGGAATAGCAGCTGTGCTGATTATCTCATAAAGGAATAGGAACTTAGATATTTTTTAGATGTATTTTAAAGAACAATAATGAATTAGAAAGATACCTTTTTTGTGCAACTTCCCAAATTTTATATTAAAAAAAATGCTGAAACTTCAAACAGTATTTCAAAACTTAATCCCCAATCCCAAAAGAAAAATGAATTCTGTGTATACTTTTTCAGATCACCAAGGTGTTAAGGCCTTGGTTGGCTGTGTTGGGAAGACTAGCTTGACCAGCTTACACCTGAACAGCCAGTCCAAGTCGTGTGAGGAAGAGGAGATGGACGAGGTGCTCACTTCACTGGCACAGGCTCTAGGTGAAAATACAATCTCTGTGTCTACTGTGCCAGTGTTCAAACATTAAATGTTCACTAAACGTCTTTTACTATCTACTTGTCTGTTTTCTGCTCATTTGGAAATTGAAATTATGTTGTTGTTGTTGTTGTTTTTTTTCCCTAAATTTTATAATACAAGTGTATTATTTGTATGCTGACAGGTTATAACTCATGTACTTAATAGTGATACTAATGTTATTTCCAGGTCTGACAGTGCAGGGATCAGGAGAAGCTGTGGTAGAAGCATGCAGTGACCTGCCTAAAGTAAATGTGGGACCTTATACTGTGGTACAGCTCAACAACCTGGGGGGTAACACAGGTACTAGAATATAACAAATATGTTTACCATTTATATATACAAATATGTATACCATTTATATATGGAATACGGGGTAAACCCACCTCATGTTTGATCATCTGTTTGATGGTTTTAAATTGTTGTATAAAACAGAAAACATACATAGCATTGTTGTTAAGATGATGCATGGGTTTAGTATGGTGTACAAAATCTTTGAGCTGTTATTTTCTAAATTTTACCATAAGAATGTAAAAATAATACTTTTTCAACTCTAGTACATTATAACCATTATTCAGGGCATATGGGAAGCATGTTGGACTGTTCAGCAATATCCACAGACTATAAGAAGAAGAAATTGCCACATTTATCTTTTCATCATGCATTGCAACTAGCCTCTGCATTCAAAGGTTATGGTAAGTTTTCCAGTTTTCTCCCTGGCTATGCTGTTTATACTTTATACTGAGAGATTGCATTGATGTATTCAATATTGGAATCTTGACAACAGAATGGCCCAAAGAGTACAATATAGGTGAAAAAGAAACAAGATAACAACTGTAAGTATACCTGTTGCTTTTAGTCTATAGTAATAGAATCTGATGTGTCCTGCAGCTTAATAATCTGAAGTATGAGAAATTATCATTAATTTTTGAAAGATGGACTATTTTGGTCCCTTCATCTAAATCATTTTATTTATTTCCACCCAGATTCTCCAGAATGTTTACTGTCCAGTGATGAGTGGAATATGATTATTGGAGCAGATAAAGAAGCCCCATCATGGTTGCAGGTTAGAATATTATCTTTATTTATTTATTAATATTATTGTGTGGTCATTTGTGTTATGTTTACATACTTTTTTAGAATATTGTAAAACATATTTATCTTGAGCAAAGAATCTAGTAAAGTGGATTGAAAAAGCAGTTCCTATTGATTTTGATAACTTTTTCACAATTTTCAAATAGAATAAAGTTGTTAATTTTTTTTAATGATGATAAATCTATTTTTCTTGAGTGCAGGATCGTTTGCAAAACAAAATTTTAAACTTCTAAGTTGAAGTTTTTTTTTTTTTTTTTTTTTTTATGTATGAAAACCTTTTGGCGGTATTTGATCTGATGTGATAACTTCTGGAATCACAATTCTGAATTTGTAGATTGCTGACCACAGAGATACTGCAGTGCATATGAGCCAGCTCCCAGCCAGTATCACAGTCCAGAAGATGGAGGGGATTCTGGAGATGGAGGCTGACTGTGAAGTGCAGGAGGTCTGCCTCATGAAGGTAACATTTCTGGAACAGTGATTGTACTAACGGATTCACTCTGACTGGAGTTGCATTATTTTTATTTGTGTAGCTGGGATGTTGCAAAGATTGAACCAGCATTCTGAACCTAGTTGATGATTCCATACATTAATTCACATTTAATCACTTTTCTTCTGCATATTTGAATGTCAATTTTTAATCAAAAAAATATTATTATTATAACATAATGTCAGTATAGGCAAACAGTATTATTTATACATTCCTTATTATGCCAAGCATTGTTTTTAAGGATCCTATAAATAGAAAGAATAACGGACTAGCATGGGTACTGCTGGCTGATAAGGTTTCAGTGGAAAGAGCAGAGAAGTTTTTCAACAGTGGAGAGGTAAAAAAATATTAAGTGGCTTTTTATAGTCTACTCTTTGATCTGTACATTTTAGATTATAAAACGATAGTAATTGATGTTTTACAATGACATACTTGGGGAGGGAGAGAGAGAGAGAGAGATTCCTTAGCACATTTAATCTGGACTTTTTTTCTACCATTCAGGCATTGGTATTTGGCCAGGCCTTCATGCTTAGCAGAGTTGCAGTGAAGATTGATGACCAAGCCAATACTGAAGCTGAGAAAGTGGCAAGGTAGGTTTGGGTGTTGTTCACCCTTTTGACAAGTCCTCATATGGTTCTTATTTAAATAGGAATATCTGAGACTGGGAATCAATGTCCTCATTTTCTTGTTTTCTCATATCAAGTATGAACTGATATAATTGTTTGAAGGTAATATAAAAATGTGGTAAATGTTTTGCTCTGTATTTCCAGACTGGATATGGAGAGACGTATTCAGGAGAGGAGGGCTGCTGAGAGGGAACATAGGACTTTGATTCAAACTAGCTATGCCACATCCCAGGCAAGACATGCATACATGTTGGCAAACCCAGCATATGCTGATGGTAGGGTGTGGTAAATATGAGGGCAAAGTAATTTAAGTTGCTTTGTACTTTCTAAAGGTACATTTGTGACATGAACATGTAACAGAATGAAAATAACAAAATTGTGACCATCTGAAGTCCAAGTGATAAGAACTTGATACCTAAGAATTATGCATAAAGATACGATTCTAATCACATAAAACACTATTACAATAATTGTATTTTATACTTATTCAGACCAGCTTGCAAAATTTTAGGTTCTTTAATGCAGTCTTGTTTTTACTGTATTGCATGAAAAAAAAACACAGTGTATTTATGTAATCAAAAGTAAGATAAAGAAATGACAGTCGTAAGAGTATGAATTATTCTATGAACTATTTGTTCATGAGATTTCATAAAATTATATGTAAGGTTAATTAATACACCTAATCCCCTGCTACATGTTATTGCAATGAAACTGTCTTAATAAAAGATCAATATTAGTAAAATTACTTTTAAAGTTGGAAATTGAGCAAGATTTTGATAGTTGTAGTTTATTGCAATATGTGTCTCATTGGTTAAACATATAAACATAGATATATTATTATTGTGACCTTTGAGAATGATGTAGGTTTTACTGTGCTCTATGTGTGAGACATTAAAATTTTTGTAGGTTTATTGAAAGTGTACTTATTTGTTATTTAAAAATTCAGATATCATGATTTTGTGCCAATTTGACAGTCTAGTATGGTTGAATTCATGTGTTGGCATAGTAAGAATCCTATGGTTAACATTGATCTCACTTTGGTGAACTTAAGCAGCAGCTGTGATAAGTGCCAATACTTTTAAAGTGCCAATATTTATACGTAGCAGAGAAGCAAATTGAATGAATCAATAAACATGTTTGAATCCAGTTGCCAAACTTGGTTATAGAATCACTGCTGTTCATTATATAATACTGGTTATGTTATGACATATTTTTGTCAAATTTATACATAAAATTCTTTTTTTTTTTTTTTGCATTTCAGACCATTTGTAACAACTTTTGACTTCTTGTTGACATGAACTTTTTTATATTTGGAAGATCAATTTTCCAGATCCAGTCGATTCAACATTTTCACTCTCCAGGTTTATATTTTAACTATTGGTTATACTGACAAAACCAGGATTTTACTGGGTCCAAGGGTCTAAAATGTTTTTTTTTTTTTTTTTTTTGGGGGGGGGGGGTATAAATTGAGTCACTACTAACCACTCTATCCCTCCAAATATATTTTACACTAGTATTTTTTAACCATTCATGTATGACTCTACAATACCTGGTTAAATTTTGCAATATTTAAACTTGACAAACTGTCCTCTAGTTGCCTCTTCACAATTTGATTTTTTTCCAGTAATACTGCCAATATACAACACTATTTTGGCTGATATCATTTGTGGGAATGTTACCCCTTTCAAGAAAAAAAAAAGAAAAAAAATCAGTTTCACATTCAATGCTTTATTATTAATAAAAACTTGTCACTACTTCAAATAGGCTTGCTTGGGTGAGCTCTTCTTTGAAATGTAATTATAAAAAAACTGAATTAATTGAATTACCATCTCCTCTCTTTAAACATAAATTTAAAATTTAAAAAATGAAAAAAAAATCTCTACTAAAACAGTCAGTGCCTTAAAGTTCTTTGCATGTGACCAACTCTTGCAAGGCAAGCAATTCCAAACTTTCCTTCCAGGATCTATGATCTTAAAATGAGCACAAAAGAAAACAATGCAGACAGTAATGGGAGCTTGTCTTTTAACTCAGTGACATATAACTTGAATTAATATTATCTCCACTGGATTGATACAGGTATCAAAGGAAAAGACCTGTTTGGAAATAATCTGAATCTCATGAACATGACTACATGCCAGAGTCTCTAGTTCTAGTGCATAAAACTGTATCATACAAATATAATACAAGAATCAGAAACATCAGTGTAGAAATGGCCTCCCAATAATGATGTTAATAACCGTAAAATACCACTTTTGGATAAAAAAAACTTTAATTCCAACTACATCAGTTATGTAATAATTTTCAAACATTCACAATCAAATCTCTTGGTGCAATCCTGATTGTGACAGAAAATGGAAGCTTAATCCAAGACTATTACTTAAGGTTTTTTCTATGTTATTATTATCATCACTTTTATGTAATATTGGTACACACCTTTAAAACCATCAGGCACAATGGGGTTTGAGTAACATACAACAAATTGAAGTTCTACTGGACATGGTTGTTAAGATTTGTAATAAACCTGACTTACAGGGCAAGACATACACAGATGACATTACTGTTTTATGACCCTTACTAAAAATTCACCTTCCTTCAAATAACATGAGCTATATTGTATTTTAAATTAAGTCTGAAATTGGAAGCTAAAAAAAAACAAAACAAAAATTATCACACTCCCTTAAAAATCATGTAATGAAGACAGATGATCTAATGTAGATCTCTTGTGCTCATTTATATTCACTGAATATAACTATACGTACATATCTACAGGCCAGAATAAATATACAGTAGCACTATTGGTTGGAACCATAGTGAGCAAAAATAGTCAATCATTCCCTGCATGAACAGAAAGCTGCAGTCCTGTACATTTGTCAGAGCACATGCTTCGCTAGGAAGCAATCAGAAATATTTCAAATAGTTTGTTTCATATTCCTCAATTTGGCAGGGCAATGACGCATTCCTGTCAGTTGGATTGGTTTGAGTTCTTTAATAAATACTTGGTTTGGGAATATACACAAAGTAGACTTAACTTGGCCCAACATACAATGGCAATCTGAGTATGTAATACTCAAGTTTGGTTGGATGGGTCTAATGAAATAAATGATGTGATGGGGTGTTATTTATTTACTTAGCGCTTGAGTATGACATCAAGTAAGATGGTGCCAAACCTGAGTAAGTAAGTCAAATCTTTTTTTGTGCACACAAGCCACAGCATTCAAGTACTCTGACCGGTCCCCCATGATTAACCAAACTGGAAAGTAAAGCCACCGGGAAAGCTATTTGAGTGGTGGAAGGAGTTTGAATGATGTCCTCCAAATCCATGACCACCAAATGAATGAAATCCCTGATTTCCTCCAAAGAAAGCTTGAAATATCGTGTTGGGGTCAAAGTCTGTAAAAGAAAACATAAACATTTGCAAATCATACTACTGAAAATGTGCACAGACTTGCTGTTTACTGTGCCTTATTACTGCTAGCCAATCTATACAGCCAATGCATTTACTTGGGTTATTTTCAGTGAAGCATTTAAAGGAATGGATAATGTCCAAGATGCCAAAGTAGAGTGATAAAATGCACAAAAAGCAAATGGAAATGTTTTGGCAACTAAATCAAAAAGATCAAAATGTCTGATAGGTGAGCATTAACCATTCATTAGCATTGAATGTAAATACATATTGATGAAGTGTGTATCCATTAATATTTCTATTGACCATCAACTTTTATTTGTGGATGCAGGGGCAGATTTAGGTCTTCTGGAAGATGGTCAGATTTTCAAGTTTACACTGACGGGTAACTAATTTTTTCTGTCTGAGAACGGTCAAAAATGGGGGATGGATCAATAAAGAAAATTTGGAAGCCTGTCAGAAAATAGCTCTGGATCTGCCCCTGGGATGCCTTATGATCACAACACACACTGCTGCCACATTACCTGCAAAACCACCTTCCATGTCTTCTAAATCTTGACCGCTATCGTAACAAGCCTTTTTCTTAGAATCAGACAAAATACTGTAAGCTTCTCCTATCTCTTTGAAAATCTTCTCCTCTTCTTTCTGTTTGTCTGGGGTGTCATGGGAATGGCGATCTGGAATTATTTCAGTGAGAAAGTTAGTCCATATGCATCCTTTTATTTGTACAAAAAATCCACCTGCATGCAGATTTATTGCAGTAAAGAGACATTTCAATCACACCACACCTAGTACATAAAATGTAGAAAACATTAACAACATCAAAGCATACTATACAATATATATAAAAAAACAGGTATTATTCATGGCCTGAACAGTAAAAAAAAAACTGACAATTGCCCATTTACAACATTTCTTTTTCCCATTTAAAACATTTCTTTTTACCTGGATGGTGAACCAGTGCCCTCTTTTTGTATGCTTTTTTTATTTCATCTTCAGAGGCATGTTTGCTGACCCCTAGCACCTTATAATAGTCTTTCCTTTTACTCTTCTTCAATTCTAGTTTTGCCTCCTTAAGTAATCTTTTGTGCTCTGAAACAGGAATTGCATACAAACTCTTCATTTCAAGGAAGTAAATGTGCTATTTGCAACTTCTACTTTATTCCAATATCAGGCTTCATTAATTAAGACAAAATAATAATTTTCTTTTTATCTATCTTTCAAACATGTCCACCAGCTTTAAAGAGGATTGAAATATTTGTGCACAGTCTCCTTTAACAAGCATGACAAATTTATTCTCAGTGAAACCTTACCATGAGTTTTTTCCATATTAAAAACCTTTTCATAGTCCCGCACAGCTTCTTCATATTGTTCTGTATCTGTATAACTAAAATATAATAGAAATGTCCAAACAGCTGCTGAAGTTGAGTTTAACATCTTTTCCCCATTTGCTTTTTCCAACTAAAACATTCCAAACTAGTAAAAAAACTAACAGGCCAGCTAGATTCAAAATAATACAATTTCCATTTTTACTTAAATCTTACACACTGACAACATACAATACTGCCAAGTCAGTCTCATCCTTTCAAATTTGAGCTTAATAAGAAAAGTTCTCACCATTTTGCTCTCCTCAAATATGCTTTTAAATATTTACTGTCTAGTTCAATAGCTTTCGAGCAGTCCTCTATGGCTTCCTCTAGTTTGGTTAGCTACAAACAAAACACAGATGATCAGTGATTTTAGAAAGTAACATGTAAGCTTTGCACTGAATGAGACGTAAAAAAGCAATCTGTCTCCTCTAGATACATCCTCATACATGCTAATCTGATTATGCACAACTCCCTTTTGAAAATTTTGAAATAGAAAGGTCACAATTAAGAAAAAAAGACAACTTAAAAGGAAGATTCTATCTGTAGGACTTTTCCATCTGTAGGACTGACTTGAAATATTTTACAGCCACATTTAATGTGGGTTTTGTTTGAAGTTTCAGTAAAAATCTTGTACATGCTACTTATAATGGATGTCCACTCCCCTGCCTTTTACTTGCCATTCTTCGTAAACTTCAAAACTTACTTTGGAACACACAGTTGCCCTGTTACAGTAGAGCTTGGAATTGACTGACTTATTATTTGTGTCAATTAGCAAAGCTTCTGAATAAAGTCTGTAAGCATCTTCCAAATTCCCACTTCTAAAAGCTTGGTTGCCTTCTTCCTTCTTTGCTTTAAGGCTTTTGGCTTTCTACAAATACAAAATTTGAAAAATTAAAAGAGTTAATGAAAATCAAAAGGTGAGTACAAAAACTAACAAAACAATATAACAGAACACATGCACTCAAGAATAAAAACTTTTGTGGACCCAGTCGGTATCTACACAAAAATCAAACAGTTAAATTCTAAAGACCTCTCACTTTGATTTTACAAATGCTAAATACTATAGAAATTTAATTCTAAATACTACCTTGTATATGTTCTTAGACTTGACGTGATCTGGAGCTAGCCTTAATACTTGTTGAAAATGTTGGTAGGCTTTATCCACCTGATCTTCATAGTAAAGGCACATCCCTCTTACAAAGATAGCATCTGCATTCAAACTGTCCGATCTAATAACATCACTGCAAGGAAGGATAAATTTTTTATTCTATGCGAGCCAAAAAGACATCAATATGGCTTTGTTCAAGTTTTCACCTTGTCGATATACACATATTAACAACTTTCCCTAAATACCAATAAATTTAAGAAATCTATATGAAAGGTATCCTGTGTGTTTCCAAAAATGTCTTCAAGTCATACTTTTATGTCTAAATATTCTGCAAAAATTCAATTCAGACCTTAAACAACAAAATCCCTCAAATTAAATTTTATATGAAGCATTAATGATGTAGATTTACCCTTCAGAGCTTTAGAACCTTGGATAAGCATAAGGTTAGAGACATTTAGGTAACAGAACACTTCCCAATATGATTCAAAGAAAACAACTGGATCTTGCAACAGAAAATGTATTTAAGGAATGAAATTAATTACATTAACAGTTAAGGTATATTACCCTGTATTTTCCCCAATAAATTCCTCTAAAAATAAGTAATTTTCCCCTAATCACCAATCACTGCTTGGTCCATCCCTACACTTGGGATTGACATTTTACACCATTGCTAATGAAATAATTTAGCACTACATGTTTGAACAGCCTTATTACTTGTTTTCCTATACATTTCAAAAGGAAATATTAACATCAGTTATTTTTACTTGAAGGGTTTTATCATTTTGAGGTCCAAATTGGGAAAGATAAAAGTAACTTGACAGGATATGTGGACACTGAAAATGTAACTATGGGACATTTTCAAACTAGGACATTTTTGCTTCAAACACCAGTCACTTACTTTGCAGTTTCTTGAGACTCTTGGTATCGCCCCAGATGTGCCAAAGCCTCAGCTTTCATTACTTTAAACCTAGGACATGCTGGAGAATGATCTATACACCTATCCATACAGTACAGAGCCTGAAATAATTATAATAATAATAAAAACACAACTTCAGCAAAGATTGTTCCTACTGAGATGCAGCACATATATAATGATAATTCTTTTCAACAGAAATCCAGTTTTCTTTTTATGCATGATATTGTTACTTTTGAAATGAACAATGAAGAAATATTCTTACCCTTCTAAAATCTCCCTTTTCAAAGTCTTTCTCCGCAGCTTCCACAAACTGCAACACTGCCTTGGCATTATTCATCTAAAAACGAGAACATAAAAAAAAACTTAGACTATTAGAATCAGCTCAGTGTCAGAGTAAAATCTAAGGGTTATTTACCAAAACACATTTTAAGAACCTGCTGCAAATGAACCACCTTAATCAATACTTTAAGTATAGCAAATAACAGTTTTGAAGAGGTATACCTCAGACTTCACAGCATTGTTGTTGGGCTCCAATAATAAAACTTTCTCATAACTGTTTAAGGCAGCCATGGCATTTCCCATTGCAAGATGACATTTTCCTTCCCGTAGATAACCCTGATAAGTGAGAAAAAAGATTTCCTTTATAAACACCATAAACTTTAAAATCACATACATGAAAGTCAGAACTTCTTCCATCACACACACACACACACACACACACACACACACACACACACACACACACCAGGGATAGAAACAAACTCTTCCCTGTTACCCAGAGCTAAGTTTCATATATATCAAAACTTTTTTTATGATTTGGCTGAAAACAAGGGTTAGTACTTTTCTATTTTGCAAGTTGGTTGAAAATGATTTTTGAAATAAAATATTTTTTGCCACCACAAATTGGTGGACTTGGTGGTTACTTGTGTTTTTCTAAATATCACTCTGTTGACAAGATAACTTGAAACAAAGGTTGATTCAATGAAATTAAGATGAAGTTTAGAATTATTAACTTCTAAGCATACATATATTTTTGTGTTAACATTGATTGGCTTGCATACTAACATCACTCATCTGCATAAACCAACAGGCATCATCCATGCCCAATTTGCTCATAGTAATTATTACAAAAGATATAACTAATTATCTCAAATTATGGTGCTCGCACCTCATTTCTATTTTCTTTTTTCTATCTTTTGGTCTCAGGTATGTTGGATTATGACCAAAATGGGGGAAGAATTTTGAATTTCTATCCCTAATCATAAATAACCTTATGTTATCATCAGCAATCCTTGTAGTGCACATAAGCTATATGAAAAATGAAAAGTTTTTAAACATTACTGGCTCATCAGACAATATCAATACATTTAGATTTCCAGTCTTGAACACACTGTGAAATGAACTTGCTTTCCTGCAGGAAAGCAGTGGGAAGTGCATTTCCAGATACCCACCATGTGTTCAAACTTGGGCTTGGGCTGGGGAGAATAATTCCTCACATTTCATGATCTGAAAGCTAAGTCAGCAAATGCAACTTAGACTTGCATGACTGGAAGGATATGACTGTCTTCTTCACTTGGCACTTACTTTAAATCTTAATTGTGATAATACATTTCGCTTCTATCTGATCCTCTTCATCTTTTTTTCCTTGTCTAAAATATTGCTTTAACAGTGCTAACTATCCAGTGCTTTAGTTGTAGAAGTAGGTGTACTAACTGTGTGAAAATGTTGTGTCTAAAAAATTCTACTGTCCAAGAAAAAAAAGAAAACATCACACCAAAGGTTAAACCATATGCTAACTTACCAACAACTAAAATACAACATACTATACTTATATAAAACAATTTCATGATGGAAATTCCATGCTATAACTATCCTGGGCCCAAATGAGCTTGGCACAGCATTACGATCATAGTTCTAGTATTTTAACTGATAAAACACAAAACGTATCTAATACCTTGTCAGTCTAACAGTACTTTAATCTATTGTCCTTAATACAAATAATGTCAGCTGAAACCCTTCTTCCCATCTTTGGCTCCATAATTTGCCAAACTTACCTTTACAAAATTACTGTCCAAAGCTATTGCTCTTCGTGAATCATCCAGTGCCTCCTGATATTTGTTCAGCATTATATAAGTAGCTGAACGGTTTCCATAGAATGCAGCACATGTGGGACAAATATCTGTCACAAAGAAAACCCCATTAGAAATTCTACCACATTCATTAGATTTCTTTTCATTAACATTAAAACCAGAATTTAAAAAAATACAATACATACTAGAACTTTACTTTTTCTCGTCTTTAAATAATATGAAATGCTACCTATATTGATTCTAATAACTTGATTCTGACGTATTACAACTTGAATATCATTTAATCCAATTCCTTGAGCTAATCTTTTAATGACTATAAGAGCTCATTTCCAATGAAACTATAGGTCTACAAAGATTGATCCAGCTTTGTGAGGACTCTCACTGAATGCAATTAGATATATAGATTAACATGCTTCCTCTTGTTTAAACATACTCCTATAATCACCAGCTTTTCTGGATTTTACTCAATGGCAGGGATGTTTATCCCTGATCGCATTCAGCGAGAGTCCCAAAGAAATTGGATCAATCTACACACACAGATAGTTACATTGGGAATGAGCACTTAAACTCAACATGATAATCAACTTACCTATGGCCGCTGTATACATTTCCAAAGCATCTTTGTATTTTTTCTGCGTATAAAACCAATTCCCTTCAATCTTTTTCTCCTCTGCTAAATGAATTTTCCTAAAGAAAATATATCAGCTGTAAAAAAGCACCTGATTGGTTCAATCATGAATGTCTTTAAATTTCCAAAAGGTCTGTTGCTTTATCACCTTCCAGTTAGTTTTCATAGACATTTATTTTGCTTTGCTTATTAACCAATAAATAAAGCATACTCAAAATCTTTGTCCTGGACAAATGAATCCACCAGAAATCATGCACAAAACTGACATATTGTAGAATTAATGAATTTGACACTTAACTAGAATTTCCAAGGTTCACCAACTAAAAAATGTCAAATAGTTAAAACTTCTTAAATGTGTAATTTCAAAAGTGGGGGGAGACCCCAATCTAGTGTGTTCCAATAATTCTGAATAATCAAATTGAAAATCGTCATGCCTTTAATTGTTCTGGACATATACCTAAACACCAATGAAACATATTTTAAGATTATATGATGAAGGCCCCAACGACACTTAGCTCGTGTAAAATGAAACTTTCCAAAAACAGACTAAAAACTTATTTTTTATGAGCAAACTTGTGACATTTCGTAAATCTATAGTCAATTATCATGATACTAAACTGTTCGGATGTTAGTTCGGCGATTATTTCAATATCTTCGTCCATTTCACAATCTTCATGTTCAGAACCTTCCAGACTTCCATCACACACTATTATTTCTTCCGTCTCCATCATTTCTTTAGTAACATATCGTGAGATTTCACGAGATTGCCCTATATACCATTGCGTTTGCTGGGATTTTCATTTATTTCAACCAAAAATATATTATATATCAGTATTAGGCAATATCTTGGATCTACTGATTATGCCAATGGAATAAAATGAGGGAAACAGAAGAACAATTTAAATTCGATGATTTATTCGTACATAACTAATTATAATTCTCTTCTATAGCACAGCTACCACACTGGAAGTTGTGCTACCCACGTAGAGTTCAGAGAACTGGTAGTGGTAGTAGTACTTGTACTAAGAATTGCCCCGCTTTTGGTCACGGTGACCTAAAAGTATGCGCTAATATATTCAGGATAGATCTATCTCGTCTAGCATGAGTTCAGTGTGTACAGCACTGGGATTGGACATTTACGCCCTGAGAGATGTTTTCTCCTACAGAAGTTTAGTTCATGCAATAGCAGGGGCTGCAGTAAGTGGTTGTCATTATTGAGCGACAATTTATGTGAAGTTACTCAAAGTTTCTTCCTGCGACAAGCACTCTTTGGGGGGGGGGGGGGGGTATTCTTTCCTCTTCACTACACTTGGCATTAAAGACATGTTGTACACGTTGATTTAATTTTAATGTCTGAATACCTTGCAAGACTGCTTCTCTTTACCAATTAAGACCTTTGAAATTGTTAAACCCCTTGCGTTAATGCACCTGAAATGTCAATAAGATCTGGTTCTAGTCATTCAGAATTAAATGATTTAATTAAAAAGGTACAAAGCCTCAGTATTAATCAAACAATTATTTGTAAGAGAAAATACTTTGTATAATTTTTAAGAGTTAGATGCCATGAAAAAAAAAAAAGTAAATGATCACCTTGCAAATTGCCATCTGTCAACAATCTTGACCACAGTTTAAAATCTGGGTGGAAGCTCAGAGTGATGGCAGAATAAAAAAGACGCTCCCAAACTCAAGTATTGGTTAAACACTTTTTGATTTTCCTGGAATGTTACAGAGTTATGGAAAGTGTAAGAAAAGGGGATTAAAGGTTGATTATGTAGGGAAAATGCCTAAATGCCTTGTGGCCCAGCTGTGTGATGAAGTCTACTATTTTATATTTACATTAAATGATTTTGTTCTAGGGAAGCATCACTGCCCTTACTGTGTTCTTTCCACTTGATACAGCACGAACAAGACTTGTAGGTTAGAAAGTTACACATTTTAAGGCACTTGTAGAAGATCAATTCCAATGTATAGAACTCTTTTTTGGGCTGCTGTAAATGTAGCACTGATATGAACAAAGCAAATATTTCATAGTACAAGATTGAACACATTTTAATTACTAGTTTTTCACAATTATGTATAGTACAGGCTGTATGTAGTTAATAGAAACATCTGTTATATAATTATTTGAATATTTATGAGGTTGTTTATATCATAATCCATTGGTATTTAGTGATTTCTGTTTTTCAGTTGATGACTTGCGAGAAGCCAAGCCAACCCCAGTGATACTCCATGAAATATTCAAGGAAGAAGGGATGTGAGTATAATAAGAATAACCATGAGGACACTAAATACATAATTTTATGTGCAAACAGTCAACTTCAAATATATATAATATTTTAGATATTACCCTTAACTCTTCTAAAAAAATGATGGTGATTGTCCATTAAACTCCCTTAAAGGTGCTGATAAATACTTCTTACAAACAATTATCTTTATTTAACTTTTTAGTGATGGACTATACAGAGGGCTATTTCCAGTTATCACTTCCTTATGTTGCTCAAATTTTGTGTATTTTTACACTTATAATGGATTGAAAAATGTCTGTGTACCCCATAGAGACAAGGAGGATGCATTGCAAGATTTGCTTATGGGTTTTGTGGCAGGTATGTACGCATTATACCAAAAAGATTTGTACATTTACCTGATATACGTTAACTTTGTGAATACAGATCCAGCACAGAATATTTTGAAGTATCAGACATACGTTATTTTTCAATCAAAAGACACAAAGACACTACCTGTTAAAGGCAAATGTACTATTCAAATAGTTGTAGTGGCCAGTTGTAGATTAGAATTAATAAAACATGATAGTCATAGACAATACACAAAATGTCTAAGGTACATTTTAATTATTAAATTATTAAAATAATTTTTAAAAATTTTCAGGTATTGTAAATGTTCTGCTTACAACTCCTCTATGGGTGATTAACTCTAGACTGAAAATCCAAGGCGCCAATTTGAGGACCAAACAGTATAAGGAGCAGAAGTTCCCAAAGTATCGAGGGATATTAGGTAAGCATACTGCTGTTTGTACCAGTTGCAAGGTTGGACAGGATGTGCAGCACTACTTGTCAGTCTTTGACAGACAGGGATGTTTTTTAAACCCAATATAAATTGAATAGCACTTAGATGGAAGTATATGAAACAAACAGGTTTAATTGTACCACCAGCGTTAGCGCTGGCGGTACACATGGTTTCGGTCTCGTCCGGATCGTTCCGCCGGCCCCGCCGGCCTCGCCGG